CTCCTACCCCCCGCCCCCGCCCCCCCCCCCCCCCCCCCCCCCCCCCCCCCCCGGCGCGCCCCCCCCCCCCCCCCCCCTACAGGGATTCGGATATATTGCGCATCGAGAAGGATACCGTTGGTGTGGTGTTCGACTCGAACAAAGCAACTATATCATATCTATAATAACGAGTATATCACCGGTGAAGGGAATAATAGACAATAACATCCCAAAGCCATTGGGCAGCAACATAAGAATCTTAGCGCAGACGCACGGGCAGAGAACGGGCCATCTGTGATGCTTTTACCGGTGCTGTTACCAAGTGCGGGCAGATCCTCGAGTATCCCTTGGAGAAAAGCAAGACTGCCGCTCACTAATATTAAGTCCAATCAACTATTTCAGAATCTGCTTCCACGAAAACGAGACAGTAGAGCTTTATTAAAAGGGGATATAGATATAAGGTAGATATATAGATATACAGACACGAAGAACAAGACAAAAAGCCGACCTAGTAGCTTATAATAGTTATATTTATTTGTTGTTCCTGGTCATAAGCGTTCGTCAGCTAGGGTAGTCGGTATTATCCGAACCACACCCTAATTCCTCCTCTGTTTCTCCTCCTTCTCAAGGGGCCAAAATACGGCCTTGTTTGCCCGACAGATAGATAATTCCCAGTCCCACCAAAGCCGACTGGGCAAAATAAAAACCATAGACCCTATGTCTATACCTATACACATATATACCCAAGATAGTGTGTTCCGATGGTATCCAAACACCTGAAAATAATAATCAGTCCCAGAATACCGTAGTCACGGGTACCCAACAAAATGCATGCATGCTTGGCCTAGAACGCCTGAAACGCCGCGATATGTATGACCATCACCTTTGTGACCTTTGTGGGAATACCCTCTATGATGCCCTTACAACATCTTAGATTCCCCAGTTGCCAGCCTAGGTCCTCCCGCCCCAAATGACTAGGCGTACCGCGTCGTAGGTACTCTAGGCACCGCCCACTGATCCTGACCTTGCCAGGACTGTTGTTGCGGCGGACCACGGTTTCTTCCTGGGGCTGCTGGGGGCGGTCGCGAGACTGCCCCGGCACCACCAACCCAACTGCTGTTCGGCTGTGTTATCTTAGCTATCTTTCTTCTCCGCGCCCGGCGCCGACAGGACGAGATTATACAGCATAGCAAGCCGAGGACGATGACGCCACCGACAGCCGCTACTACGGGAACGATGATGTTCTTATTGTCGTTGAAGAAGGTTCCCACCTGGTCTGTGAAACTGGACCCTTTGCATTGTCCGTTGTCGCATTTCCCTCCACCTTGGCAAGGAGTGCCGTCCAAGAAGTGTTGCTGCATATCATAGCAGGCATTCGGTCCGAGTTGAGACGAAGCGCATCGTAGTTGACAAGTTTGCGAGTCACAAGCCGAGGTGTCGTTATTATTAGTCAACGAACCTACTAAAGTCCGGCATTGCAGATCTCTAGAAGTGCATTGTCCAGAAGCACAGGTTAAGCCTCCACCACTAGCACCACAGGCTTGACCATCGGCTGCCTTGACATCGGCAGGGCATGTTCCGGAATTTCCACTGCACGTCTCCTGAGGGTCGCATGAGCCAGTGCTTTCCCTGCAAACTGACCCCGACGACTTGAACTGGCATTGGCCCGTACAGCAGTCTTCGTTAGTCGGATCGCACACGGCATTCGTCTTGAATTTACAGGTTCCAGGGTCGCAGCAGTTGTTATTGACGCATCCCTCTTCACCTCCACAATCGCAGTCCTCTCCCGCCTCCACGATACCATTGCCACACTGACTTGGTGAGATAGTGACAACGTTTTTATTGTTCGTCAAACAGCTTGATCTTACACTGTTCCGACCCAGAGCTGAGCAAATGTTGCCAATGGTGCAAGGAGAGAACTGCGTAGCGCTGTCAGAGGTCGAAGGGTTCATAATGAAGCCGCCGTTAGCATTGCACGTAGATGTGCTAAGTGGGCAACACTTCTGCATCGAAACGGTGCCGTCTGAGCATGTATCGGGTGTGCAGTCATGGAAAGCACCAAAAGTATGGCCTGATTCGTGCGCAAACACTTGCCATTCGGTCGAGGTTCGGACAACGACGTTAGCTCCCGCAATCGTTTCATTCCCTCCGCTTGAAGCAGCTTGAGTCCCCGACCCTTGGGAACAGAGCTGTCCTAACCATGCCAGGCCCACGGCCGCATCAGTATTGCACGTACTCAACAGCGTCCAATACGCATTGGTGTCGTTGAACCGACCTCTCCACTCGGAAAACAAGTTAAGTCGGTCCGTAATAGTAACACTATCGCTACAGGCGACATTCCATCTAGCACTCTCCGGGGGGGTTCCCGGGCATGTCGCATCGCTGATGGTCAGATTCTGGATACCTAGCGAGATATTGAACGAACTCTCGAATAATGCCGAGGCTGAGCTGACCTGTTGAACGATGTGGGAACGCACGTCGCTCTTATTAGCAAAAAGTGCCGTGTAAGTGCAGTCTGCAGCTATCCCAACGAGAGCAATCTTGCGAGTAGTAGGACAACCCTGAGTAGACCCGATACTCTGAGCAAGGTTAACGCCAGCACCATTCCCGGTGGTAGTTCCGTCGATCTCGTCGCGGCCGAAAAGACTCTTTGCGTCTACCGCCGACATGTCGCGGAGATCCAAGCCCCGATGTACGGGGTGGTCGTCCTCGTTATTGAAGTTAAGCATATCGGACGAGCACGAGTTCTCGTCGAGTCCACGCTTTAACTCTGAAACATCGTAATTCGACTTTATATCCGAGTCCCTCCAAACAACCATGTACTCGTCATCGGAAAATTCTACAGTGGGATCATCCTCGTGCTGCGTTTGTCTGTAGTTAGAACTCGTCTGAATGTGGTGGTGGTTCCCGTTGACTCGGAATGTGCCCTCAAACAAGGGCCTTGGTCCATCTCGAAATACCGTTATCCTCGCCCAACCGGAATTGATCCATTCTGAATGATGCGGGTGTTGTACGAAGGCGTGGCCCTTGAACACCTTGTGGTCATTCCTTTCTATTTTCTCCTCTGTCACGGACCCGTCGGGGCCAAGATAGCGTACCACGGCCGTATCTGAAAGGACATCGAGGTTAGGTTCTAATACAATCCGGATCTTGTCCTTCTGGTCGTGCAGTAGGAATGTGAGGTCGAACTCGGAATAGGCGTGTACTCGATTAGAGGCGGTATGAATTACGGGATTATCGAGGCGGCTAATATAATTCAAGGCATTTCGCTTAACAGAATGCGCAAGTGAGGAATGGGATAGTGCTGATAGAATGACGGCCGCAGCCTTGAGAATACCGCGCATGATGCAACGGGTGAAGGTGAAGCCCTGCTTCGAGGACAATTAATTGTTCTCAAGACTCCATGCGCCGGCGCAATAACCCAAGATGATGTTGCCGCAGACGTCTCAAATTGAAATATTAAAAGGAACTAGGAAATTGTCGTCGTGGTTTAGTAAAATCGACGGAAAGAAACAACGACAATTAACAACAATTAGGGTGCTTCAAAATGAACTTTCGAATGACTTTCAAAGGACTTCAAACTTGAAATATTAAGATTTTCAAGGAGAAAGCGGAACCGCCAGAGTGAAACAAGCAACAGATGCCGTAGATGCCGATGCCAAGTGAAATTACACGCAATAAGGACAACCTAGACAGGCTCGGCAACGTGCTGAGGGAGGCTTGGTCTTGGGGTCTTGGGTTTGGGTTCAAAGGGGGGCTGAGATCATCGTCGAAGCTGGACTTGGTTTTTCTTGTTATTTTCTTATTATTTCCTTCGGTACTTTTACCACTTAATTCCTCGTATATAATTAATTTCTTAATAAACCAGAACAAACAGTGACTGTTTCTCCAGAAGAGAGGGAAAGTAAAAAGACAACTTCTCAAAATGTTTCAATTGAGAGAGGAAAAAAAAAAAGACGAAACCAAAAAGAGAAAGGGGTGTGAATATGAAAATTGTGGCTGCGCAAAGATCCCCAAAGTCCTACAGAATACCTTAACTTAACATGTAGGTAGCCTTTTGGGAATAGTTACATAAGCCAACTTTAGAGCCAATAACAGCCTTGTATTTATTATTTTTGGATGGCAAAAAGCAGGTGTCATGAGTCACGACTCGCCAGTCCCTGAAGCGGGGCAACTGCACTCCAACTTCGTAACATATTAATGTACTTACTATATGTACCTATAATGTATGTAAGCCTGCATATCATACCTAGTAGGTATGGACGTTGGTAGCATGGAAATTGTATTATTAGATAAGATTTATAGGGTCCTCTTCACGACCTGGCTTCGGCAACCATTGGCCGATTCGATGATAGGTATCAAGGGACCTTTTTAAGCCGTCTTGGCGGTCAGCACGTTTTACCTACATTATCTAATAAGCGCAGAAAAAGAAGACAGACATACATACCTGTAATAGAAAACATACCTGTCAAAACTTATCTCGACGAGGTGAACCAACCCCGGTTCATACATACCCTATTTATACTTCCCCCCTTTCCCCGGGGAATCCTATGAGGTAGAGATGTTTCAGGGACGCTCGTGAATGAAAATAATAATAATAAATACGCCCAATTTCCTGTCGTGTCCGATGTGCTCACTATTGGAAATTGCTGTTTTACTATTACCTACCTGTATTCAATACCTGTTTTATATCGAGGACGAGGTCGCATCGCTTAAGACATACATACCTGTAGGTACTGTATGTTAGGAAGTACGCATATGTACCTCCTACCTTAGTAGTTTCCAACACTCGTCTGTTCAACTACCTCAGGCACCTAACCTGTCTAGACCCCTTTATCGGACCGAGCCGTTGTAGCCGGCCGTGGGCCGCATGTCTGTATGTTATCTCCGTGACATATTCGCGGTAGCTACCTAACTTATCTATCGGGTCCTTCGCTACGAAATAGCTTCCGCCCGAGACCATAAATCCGTACGCACCTAATGTATATCTTCTTTGACAGTTAGTTCTCGGCGCTGACGCCAGTCCTCCCGAGTTACCCAGTTGGCATCTCTTGGCGGGAAGCCTGCTCGCCAATAGCTCGCTTCGAACAGCAACTTGTGTTACGCGTCTCTTCAGATATACAATCATTCATAGGTACATAACATACATACACACATGCTCTTTCTGAGGTCTCGTCGTTTCTTGATTGTAACGTACTTCTGCTAGCCGTGAGGGGGCTTCGCGACGTGTTCAAGACTAGTCTCGAGCTGCGCCCCCCTTCCTACGGGATGGGATTGTCTACGGACGTAACCGAAGAGGATTTGTGCAAATACGGTATATCTTGGTATTATGATGTAGTTGCGTACCACGGATAAGTCGGTTAACGTCTCTATCACGCACTGCTCATTAGCTGGGCGAACCAACTGCATGATACACACTTCTGCAAAGATGCAATTAGCTAGTATCAACCCATTTCGTGTTGTCGATACACTGTCTATATACAGAGCTATTTTCTAGCTACCTGTCGACGGAGTTATCTAACTGCAAGGCCCCAAAAATAGGCAATATTCGTGAAAACCGGGAGTATTCATTCATCCTTCCAACTCATATAGTCATCTCGAAACCATTAACACCTGAAGGATGAACCCAACCGCTAAAACATCGGTGTCACTAGTTGAATCTTATACGTTCCAAACCTCTCGCATTATCTAAGACAGAATGGTATCAGAATTTAGAAAAGAAGAAGCACATGTCCTTATATGCATCACTTTCTCTTAGCTTCGTGTACGACGTTGATGATCTTTTCGACTATCGAGGGGTCGGATAGCTATCACATGATCAGCACGAAGTCCAAAAGGGAGGGGGAAGGGGGGGATTACAAAGTAACTCACCGTGGTTACATCACCAAGCTGGTCTTCCTCACCAGCTAGAATCTTTCTTAGGATACGACGCATGATCTTGCCACTTCGGGTCTTGGGCAAATCGGGCACGATGAATACCGCTTTGGGTGCGGCAAACGGGCCGATGCTCTTTCGGACTTGGAGGATGAATTCCTTCCTCAGCGCATCCGAGGCCTCGCCACCGTTCTTGATGGCGACAAACGCGTTGACCGCTTGTCCAGTGAGTTCGTCAGCAACACCAACGACTGCAGCTTCTGCTACTGAATGGTGTTCGATCAGGGCAGCTTCAATTTCCGCGGTCGATAGACGGTGCCCACTAACATTGACCACATCATCGACTCGTCCTCTAATCCAGTAGAAACCTTCGTGGTCACGACCAGCTCCGTCACCAGTGAACTTGAATTGGTTAGTAACCTGGAAAATGTAGCTAAACGCCGTATACTTACATAGTAGCCCTTGTAGACATTTAGATACGTGTCCATATATCTCCTGTGCGCACCCCAGACGGTGCGAGCCATGCTGGGCCAAGGCTGCTTGAAAGCTAGCACGCCTTCGACGTCGTTTCCGTGTATCTCCTCGCCGGAGATCGGGTCGATAATAGCAGGTTCTATGCCGAAGAAAGGCAAAGAAGCACTGCCCGGCTTTGTTGGTGTTACTCCTGCCAGAGGAGTTATCACGTTCGAGCCGGTCTCAGTTTGCCAGTAGGTCTGTCCCGTTAGAACTCATCCCATCGAAAATAAAAGTCGCCTAAACTTACATCGACAATTTGCGCCTCCTCTTTGCCTACAACTTCGAAGTACCACTTCCAAACTTCAGCCGCGATAGGCTCACCCACAGACCCCAACACTCTTAACTTCGGCATATGAGCCTTAACGTAATCATCACCAGCACGTTTTAGCAGTCTCAACGCAGTCGGCGCTACATAAAATTGGGTGACTTCGTGCTTCTCGATAATATCCCAGTATCTCGAAAAGTTCGGGTAGGCCGGAGTGCCCTCGAAAACGACGGTGGAGACACCGAGAAGAAGAGGCGCGTATACGACGTATGTGTGGCCGGTAATCCAGCCGACATCTCCACCGCAGAAGTACCGGTCTCCGTCGTGGATGTCGAACACATACTTGCCAGTTAGCGCAGCACCGAGAAGATACCCAGCAGTTGTGTGCATGACACCCTTCGGCTTGCCGGTCGAACCTGACGTGTATAGTAAGAAAAGGGGGTCCTCGGAGTTCACGATTTCAGGCGCAATGTACGACGGCCACTTCTCGACCTCCTCGTGCCACCACAAGTCGCGACCTGGAGTCCAGGGAATATCTGCTCCAGTGCGCTTGTAGACCAGTACCCCAGTGACGTCGGGGCATTGTTTCAGCGCATCATCAACGATCTTCTTGGTACCGATCAACTTGCCACCTCGTTTTCCTTCGTCTGTAGTTATGACTACTTTGGATTGGGCGTCAAGGACACGGTCACGTAGGGAGTCAGCCGAGAAACCAGCAAACACGACGGAGTGAATAGCTCCAATACGTGTAACTGCAAGAAAGGCAATAACAGCTTCCGGGATCATTGGTAGGTAGATAGCCACTGTGTCGCCCTTTCTGACACCCATCTTCTTGAGGACGTGTGCGACTCTGCTGACCTCACGGAGAAGCTCCCCATACGTCACATTGCGACCCTCGTTGGGTTCGTCTGCTTCGTAGATGAGCGCGACTCTGTTCGGGTCCTTGAATGCATGTCGGTCGACGAGGTTATAAGAAGCGTTTAGTTGACCTTCGACGAACCAGGCAACATCTCCGTTGACGAGGGATCCGGTACGGACAGTCTGGAAATCTCGCTGCCATGTCAACAACTCTCTGGCTTTTGTGCCGAAGAACTTCTCGGGTTCGGTAATAGATTCTTTGTATAGCTGTTGGTAATGCTCGATACCTATGTGTGTGTATTGTTAGAAAGGAGGTCTATTTATATGTCTTACGTGGGTTATAGTTTTTAGCCTTACTATCGAGATGAGGTTTACTGGGATGCTCTATTGTCCAAGTTAGCTTCAATTGTATTTGGCGCATTAGAGATAATCCGATGAATAAGGTTTATCTCACTTTCAAGCATCTTCGCCGGGGGGTCTGTTCAGTTTCAAGTCAGCATTAGAGCCCCAAGTTCGCAGAAGCACTACTAGGAAAAGGCTTACGATAGGTGTCAACCAGATGGGCCTCGGCCACCACCGGTGACTTAGACTGTTCGCCCATGATTACGGCGGGGGTGACGATAAGGTGCAAATGGTTGACGGGTGGTGATTTAGTGGTTTGGTGGTTTGGTTGAACGTATGTATGTAATATGTTTGGTTGTAAGCACTGCGGGGTACAAATTCACCAAGGAAAAAAAAAAAAAGAACTGTTATTTGCGCGCAATAAGAATTAATGCCTAGAAACCTGGCATGAGATATTGTATGAAGGTTGAAGGTTATATAGAAACGAGTTGGACCCCTACAGCTTCGTGCAAGGTTAAGAGAGCGAGGAAGAAAAGGGGCAAGAGGGCAATCACGAACGGGCAGACCTTTGAAGATCGGTGACGAGGACGAGGACGAGGCACTTTTTGTATTAATACGGCGAAATTATTAGGAGAAGATGGAAATGAGCAAGGCGCGGGACGTACAGAACGCAGCAAGCAATACACAGGTATAGGAGCACCCACATATGCAGTTCCAGGTACAGCAGGTAACACAAGAAGTACAAGAAGTACAACTAGGTACCTACATACCTTAGATAGGTATTGTATGTCATATGGTCTGATCAGCTAAGCTACTATGGGCTGTACTATGGTACAATGCACTAAGTAGCAGTGCTAAGCATCGTTCAGGGTAGCTACGAGCTGCTAAATATCTGCTAATTATATGGAAGGTAAGCGCAGGCAACGGTTCGTTAGTGTTTAGCCTCTAAAACGTGACTTACCTATCCGATCATCAGCTAACATCCGACTGGACTTCGTTGGGGATTCGCCAACCCGGACCGGGTTCTGCTCAAGCTGCTCAGGTCATGTGGGTCTATAATGTTCTTCCGCTCGACCGTTCGACCTCGCAGTGCGCCTACCTAATGTACCTAAATACATAGTAGGTTAGTACTATGTATCTATTCAATCCCCCGTTCCTCTCTCCATCTCTCCATCTTTCCAATTCTAGCCTTAGGTACATTCTAATGGAACCTTCCTACGCCAACAACATTGAACTACTTTTACTAGTTTGCTACTCTAATTAACTGTTATGTATTACGAATTGCGATGCTCAGAACCGCCAAAGCGCCATCGCGCCGCTATCATCGTCACTTTTCCTGTTAACGGATGGAGGACAATAAAAAATGCGCATTTCACCTGACTCTTGACGCACGCAGGCTGGTTATTGACCTCACACCCTCCTTATTGACACATGTCCAAGTTACCCTTACTACTACCGGTACGTAGCAATATGTAGAATGGGTAGGATGAAATGAAACTAGCCGCCGTTCCCTTTAGACCGGGAATTTTGTTGTTGAATACTATGTACGTTGGGGGGATTTGTTAGACTATACATTGTACTTACCTTAGGTAGACTTCCCGAGCTAAAGAGTACATTAGGTACGAACATGAGAAAAAAAAAACGCTATCACCAGCGAAGTCGGATGGATGTGTAAAACCTATCGCACCTAACCCATTTTCTTCGTAGCAAAATTGCGCCGTGGGGTTTTTGGGATTTTTATGGACCTACACCGGAACTATGGGGTAACTTTTTAAGGTGAAGGGGCTAATAGCTTCGCAACTTGTCTTCCGGACGATACCTTGATCTTGATCAGTGCAGTGTGGCTGGCAGGGCTGATCCCTCTTATAAGCAAGTTTGGCCGGATCTGGACGGAAAGTCCTGCAAGTGAGCAGCTCCATGTCTTTGCCCGGTCCAACGGGTGTAGCTGTTGTATTTCATTGGCACCCAGACGGAGGATTCATACCTATCTTTTCTTCTTCTGCTTCTTTTGCTTTTTAGGGGGCGTATGGTGGTTATTGCTAGCGCATAGATCATTGAGATAGCCTGCTGCTTGCTGCATGGATGTTAGATGTATATATCCTGTAGTATATCATGTAGGTATGTATCTACCTACTATGTACCCAACATAGGTAGGGAACGGACATGTCACTCCATGTAACCAAGGGTTGTAGAGAGGTACAGGTCACATCCGACAGGGACAAGATATACAAACCTCCAACGTCTTCGGTGTCGTGATATCGCTTCTAGTATAATAGCTTTCTTGTAATCCTATTAGTCAAGACCTTTGCCCACCCTGCATACTGCAACACCAAATCCCAATAACGGGGACCGATTGAACTCCAAGACAGCCTTCGTTCTTCCTTCGTCCCCTCACCCCCTCCCCCTTGTCCTTCAAGTTCAACCCCGCGTTCACCTTTCCGACTTAGACCAAAGCCCTTGCAGCCAAGTGTGCGCTAAGCTTCATCTTCAGAATTACCTCCGCAGCTCCGTTACCCTCGTGCCCATCCAGAAGGATTCGATTTTCCGCTGCTTACATAGGTATATATCCATCCTTCGATCAGATGTGGCGATAATTCTCTAACTAGGTAACTACCTAGGTATGTATTTGTCTTAAAATGTACGATATCCTTTCACTTCTCGATTCGGGGCTTAGCAATACGAATAGCCACCTAGAGACCCTTGAATCCTTATTCCGCATAGGGGTCATTTGGATACATCGCAATGGCGTCACTTTTTCGCCAAGCTTTCCCCTCTGCCCTTGTCTAGAGCTCGATGTTTTTGTTGGTGAGAGTGTGGGGAAAGCCAGCTAGTACTCTTTCTTCCCCGGGCTGGCCGGGCTAGCCATGTGAGATATCGGCTTGGCGCCATAGCTATTATCGTGGGAGACCAGTAGAATTACTAAGTCCTAGTCACTATCCATAGCCGATATAAACTCTCACCTACATCATGACCGTGGGGAAAACTTCCCTAAAGAACTCCATATCATGCCATTGATTGTTCCTCCGACAGAGGTGTGGCTGCGATAAAGATCTACTGACTTGGCAGTAACCGAGGTAGAGAGCTATGCAACTTGTATGGCCTACGGTTGTATTTATGCGACCTCAGAGCCTCACGTCCGACGGCCGTTCCGTCCGCTTGGTATTTAAAGAGCCTCTGCATTCGGCTCTTCAAAACGTGATCATTGATCATTGCCGCAACTTACCATCGGGGCGATGACGTCTCATGCGGGCTGGAACGTACTCGGCTTTTCGGAAAACCAATAATCAACGACGTTTTCCGAACTACCGGTTAACACGATGGATGTTGAATCGGCTTGATATTCTTCCAACCGCGGTCTTCGGGCGTCTAATCCGGTAGGCCTATCAGATTTCAGCTTAAGCCGAAGTCTCTCATTATCGAGAAATATACTACAATGATTAATTCTTTTTCTTTTTTCTTTTTTAAGAGTAGCTCTGCCGCACCATAGTTATAAAACCATCCGTTACTCCATAAGCTCCGAGCAGATCAAACATGCATACTACCTACCGGTATCTTCCCACGAAGCAGTGTAGGGTCTCTTCACATATCCATGCTCATTAAATACATCTCAATTATCCGCATGAATTTAGCAACGAATGCCTCCAGGTGAAAGATCACCTTGCTTCCTGTCCTTATCCTATGTTCGTAAAAGGCGGACCACTTAATGACCTCGTACTTTAAGTCATCGTCGATCATGGGGATGAGCTTGAACGTCAGGGTCTTCAATATCGTCGTAGGTGGTATGCAATGTGTAAGCAGATCGTATAACTTCGACCGGACTTGCAATATACGGGTTGGTGAGTGCTCCTCCATTATCTCTTTTGCGATTTGTGCTATTAGTGCTTCCCAGTCCGGCGGTGGAATGGGCGTGTCATCGGTAACTTTTTCACTGCGATAGGTTAGCTGAGCCGTGACATGAATAGGATAAGGAACCTACTTTTGAGCGTGTACAGCTTCGTACATTAGCAATGCTCTTCTCAGATTTCGTCCACTCTCCTCGGCAATTCTTTTATGTAATCCCGTCACAACAGGCCAACCCTCTTTCTTAGCCGAATCCGCCAGAACATTTGCAATCTCGTCGACGGTTGGGGCCGCGACTCGCACGAGGAGCGTTCGACTCCTAATGGGAGCGATGATGTTGGCTGTGCTGTTGGCAAGCAGAATCAGCCGTAAATTTGGGCTGTATTTCTCCATCGTCCTTCTCAGAGCCGCCTGAGCATCTCGAGTCAAGTGATCGGCCTCGTTTATCACAACCACCTTAAACTTCTGCTTAGCCGACTGGTCGACTTGTTGGGTTTGGGCAACCTCTTTCAGCAAGTCTTGGACGACGAATCGGTCATAGTTTCCGACATCGGACGGGGTGATCTCGAGGTGATAAACGGAGGCTACGATGTTGAATTCTAGTTTACGGTTGCTGGTAGTCTGGAAAACACGGGCATCGATCTTGATCTTCTCGACGCCAGGACCATAAAGCTCCTTCAAGGTCGCGACGATGCGGGTTTTCTTGCCTGCGCCGGAGGGTCCATATACAAGAAGGTGAGGGAAGTCGCCGCTTTGGGCCTGCAAGAAGCATTACCAGGTTAGCCATGGGATAGAAAGCAGGCAAGAATGAGGACTACGTACCAAGGAACGAAGCCTCTCCGATAACTCAGAATGATACGTTAAGGAATCAAGAGATCGAGGACGATGCTTATCGACTATGAGAGCCATATTCGCAATTATTTAATCCGTATGTATACTGGTGGAGTAAGGTAATAGTAAATTTTAAATTTGAAGGCTTGAAGGCTTGAAGCTATCAGAATGCGGATGGATAACGAAGTACATATGTTAGGTACGAAATATGCTGCCAAGAACTCGAGACGCGTTAATTGACTTTCTTCACGCGTTTGTCTTTTTTTTTGCCATTTACTAACGCCTGGCAATTTTGAGCAAAGTGGCACTGAGACATACGCACCTGTGCAGTTGTGGGCCTATGCGGGACCATACGGTACGTACCTAAAGCCCGGCATACAAAAACGGGATCCCCGACGAGGGGTTCTTTACCTAGTGCCCCTCACCCCTCACTGTTGGTTGCTGCGTTGAAGGGCCCCCCTTAAAAGTTGGAAAACCTCACGGCCTCAGTTGACCTCTACCTTAGGTACCTTAGGTAGTTTCCGTTACTATACGTTGCTACGACATTGTGTAAGCTTAAGCCCGGGAATTATTCGTCGGGTAATAAATAAGGTACACGGCTTCCATATGCACAAGCATTCCGGTAGGCTTAAGGATATGGTGTGTATGGTTGGTACTTGCTCTCTGTCCGAGACCTGATGCCAATGATCCTACTTTTTTTACTCAACCGCAAATAAACGAGACGAACAAGCGAGAAAGACAGACAGAACATTAGAGCGGAGCTTTTAAGACATGGCGGGTTGTACTAATAATACCAAGCTAGTAGGTAAGATAATATATAGGAGATAGGGTTGGGGGTTAGGGATGAATTGCCGTGCCCTTAATCTGAATTCCGGTTTCTCCCAGCGTGAAGTTTCAAATTGTACCTATTAACGCAAATGCTACACTGCATATCGTATACGCGATTGGAAAAGATTAGGAAACGAAGGGTAGTGTAACTGGAAATCCCACCCAAAGTTATTATGCATATCGTCGGGGAGCATGCATAGATCGATCAGCCATACCTATACTGCGACATCTGCGACAACTGCGACATCGATGGGATGCCTCCTTACGGGTCTTATTTTCGAATTGGAATCATAATTGGAATTGGAATTGACGAATAACTCTGTGGCGTCTGAGCCCGTTACATAACACCACCTTATCCCTATTGTTACATTTTTAGGAGGTAGTTAATAGGTAATATGTAGTAATGTTAGTAAGGTAGAAATACCTGGATGTGAATACCTAAGTACGTAACAGATAGTCAGAGATACGGGGCATTTGTAGACGCCATCACCACTTTCATCCACTTATTACATCTTATACATACTATGTCAGGTAAGTACCGTATCTGCTTTGGACTTACGAGGTACACCTTCCAAGTTCCACCTTTCCACCTTCCAGGATAAAAAAAATAACTACTGGGAGTCTGGGACACCTTCTTCTAACAACAATACCTACCTAACCTAACATATAGACCGTACAGTACCTACCTAATAAACATCATATCCTATCAGGAGTCAGGCTATCTAATGACTTGCCTGAACACCTTGTTTTTATCTTAATATTTTTTACACTTAGCAATATTAAATGTGAGTTCTCGCATTGGACAGATTTGATGTCAGACTGGATTGATCACCGGCCCACATCCCATGACTTACTTGCCTTCCCTATTTCTTCAAGTTGGCGCTTTCGATTTTGTTTATTTTTTTTACTGTACTTTTTTTTATTAAAAAAAAAAAATAAAAAGATCCACCCAACCTTGGAAAAAAAAACCCACTTGCACCCAAAAGCACCCAGAGCACGACGTTCCTCTCTTGTCGCACCCCACTTTCTCTTAACAACTCAAAGGGCACACCGACAACTATCACGATATCATTCTCATCCCTTTCCCAGTCTTTCTTAAATTGTGTCTATCTTACGGCCTTCTTCTAATAACTGACGTCCTTTTAAAAAGGAGCCCTGCCCCTCTTGGTTAAATTAGCATCACTCAGCCGAGTAAATTCTATCTTATACTCCAACTTGTGGCATCTTTTACGTTACTGATATTCGTCGTTAGGCTCACCAACCAGGTCGCAAACATGTCCTTCAACAATCGCAAGTTCTCTATGTAAGCTCATACTTTAATTTAACCCTTGGTAATCGAATCTTCTTCATGATACATCACATGCTCTATATACCCTATGATGATATACCAATATCCTCTCTTAGGCCTTCAATGTCGATGTTATAACTAGATAGGTATTTATAAATATAATACCATTACTAAACCACATCATAGGAATAGGAACACTGGTGTTCCTCGGCGAAGATTCAGCATCGGCGACCCAAGTGCCAATGGTATGATATTTAATTTCCTACATATTCTAAAATAGCCCCCCCGGGTATTTACATTCATGTTGTAAAACCGCCAAGAGCAGCACGTTTTCTGTTCTTATGTTAGGTCTTGATATAAACTTGTGGCGGTCTTGGCACTTGGCAAACGTGGCCTTCATGCTACACTTCATGCCATTGTCCCTGTATGTCTTATCACTAACGATCTTGTCTTGGCAGAAACGAGTTCCAAGATCCATCGCCAGTTCCGTGCTGCAAACCCGGGTCATCTTCCCCATGCGGGTTTAGACGCCTCACGTGCCTCCACAGGTGTCGTATGGTGTACCGAGCGCGCTGCTGAGTATGGCTTCCTTGACGAACCTGATAAGTGGGCCAACCTTGGTCAGGGCGCTCCCGAAGTTGAGGACGACATTGAGGGCTGCTTTGAGCGTCCTACTACCATTGACATCTCTGTTGCCCTCAGAGAGTATGGACCCACCGCTGGTATCAAGCCTCTACGTGCCGCCGTTGCCAGAATGTACAACGAGATGCATCGTCAAGGCAAGGAAAGCCAGTATTCCTGGGAAAATGTGGCCATTGTCCCCGGTGGAAGAGCTGGCCTGATCCGCATCGCCGCTGTGCTGAACAATGCCTACGTCGGCTTCTTCATTCCTGACTACACAGCCTACAACGAGATGCTGTCGCTCTTCAAGAACGTGAGTTGGCTGTTCTGGACAGCAATGTTCAATATCGTTAACGAAGTGTAGTTTGCTGCCATTCCCACACCTCTTTCTGAGGAGGATGGCTACCACATCCACCCTGATGTGATCGCGCGAGAGATTGCCCGAGGTACCTCGGTCATTATAACCTCAAACCCCCGAAATCCTACGGGCAGAGTGGTTGCCAATCCTGAGTTGGCTGAAATCCAGGACATTTGCCGTGGTCGCGCAACTCTTGTTAGCGACGAGTTCTACTCGGGATACAACTACACCAGCAACTGCGACGGCACTACAATTTCGGCCGCTGAGAACATCGAGGACGTAGATGAGGATGACGTTCTCATTATCGATGGGCTCACTAAGCGATTCCGTCTTCCTGGATGGCGTATCGCTTGGATTCTTGGACCCAAGGAGTTTATCAAGGCGTGAGTCTTAGAGAGTAAACCATACCTTAAAAAACTGCGCTAATTTTATGCCTCTAGCATCGGTTCGTGCGGTTCATACCTCGATGGTGGAGCCAATGCTCCTTTCCAAGAGGCCGCTATTCCTATGCTTGAGCCATCCCTTGTCCGCAGGGAGATGGCTGCTCTCCAGCACCATTTCAGAGTTCGTCATCCCTAGCATCCCTTGTATCCTCATATAAATCTGACACGGTTGTTTAGGAGAAGCGAGACTACGTGGTTAAGCGCCTACGAGATATGGGCTTCGTGATCAAGTATGTGCCGGACAGCACTTTCTACCTCTGGCTTAACCTCGAGGGTCTGCCGGGCCCTATCTCGGACGGCTTGAACTTCTTCCAGGCTTGCCTGGAGGAGAAGGTTATTGTTGTCCCGGGTATCTTCTTTGACTTGAACCCTTCTCGCCGTCGTGACTTGTTCGACAGTCCTTGCCACCACTGTAAGTCATAAACCCCTTCCATATGATGTATCTCTTCCCCCTAGGTATTACAGAAATGCTGACGTTATGTTGCAGTTGTCCGTTTCTCATACGGTCCGAGAATGGATGTTCTCAAGATGGGCTGTGATGGTATTGAGAGAGTTGTCAACAAGTAAGTTCACAAGACCATGGCAGTATGCAGGGTACAACTAACACCAATTTAGGTTCAAGAAGTATATTTAGACAGAACCCTTATTTTTATGAAGAAAAAAGGGTTGAGGAGGTTGGGCATGGTTTACTTGTGAAAGGTGATGATTTGCATCTTTACAGCTTTTTCTCTATAGAAAAAGAAAATATAAGGCCTTAGCCTAACACTGCCATAGAGGCTGATTCATGAAATAAACTTCTTTTTTTTTCTCTATTAAAATGATTGTCTCGTGTCATGCTTTGGTTTCAATACATAGGTATATCATGTTCCTCCTACCTACCTATAAGCCTTACTAAGAGACGACGTTGAATACGCCAAGCTCATGAAAGCTTGGACCATGGGGCCATGGAGCATGTGAGATCTTAGATCTAGCTTGGCTTTTTCCATTTCTTCTTAGAAGGATCCCAACTCTAAAGTAGACCTCGAAACAAGTCTAGGTACCTTAGGTAGTCAGCACAGAAAACAGTAACAATACTAAAAATGACACAACCGAAGTTCCAGACATTGTTTTTTATACTTGTAGTTACAATGGACTGGATTACATTCTTATCTGCTTTTATATTTTATGTGCGGAGCAAAGTAGATTTTTTCTCAAATCATAAACAATATTACCACCTATCCACTAAGATGAGAGAACCTGCTCGACTCCTTATCTTACACATTGCGAAGACGGCGAAACTCGGGAGTAGTATCGTGTAACCTCTTCTCGAATTACTACCTGAACCCTATTCATGCATTTTCTATCGGTGACTGAACCCACGCGGAACTCGTAAACGCAAGCCCATCCCTGCTACTACTGCTAAACGTCAAAACGAGAAAAAAAGAACTAAAAAAACTAAGGTCAAGTTAAGCTGCAGTACAAGTGACGGAAGGAGAGGAATGATGTAACGCGGCACCGTCCTAACTAAAAATCAATCTAGTTTTCAGCTGATTCGTTTACTATAAAACAGGTAAGTTAGTAGACAGATAAAAATATGATCGCGCGGTGCACCTACTAGAATCTCGTCCTCCATTGGGGCGTCGCCACCAGCGGCAGCAGGGGCAGCGTTATTGGCATTTTCATTCTGGTTTCCAGCTTCGAAATAGTCTGCCATTTCAGAGTCGAGCTCCTCAGCTGTCTTCTTAGCTGGGCGGCTGTTACGGGGTCCACGGCGCTTACGCCCACGGGCACCTGCACCAGCAGCTTTCGAGCCGGCTTCTTTCTTATCGCTTGCCGCTGACTTGGGTTGAGCCTTGGGCTGAGTGATACGCTCGGTCAAGGTCTTAGCGGGAGGCGCTATCTCCGCAGCCTTAGCAGCGCTGACCACAATCTCGATCTATATAATATAAGCATATGTTATTTAACGTTGCGGATGTCAAAATATACTGACCTTGATCGGTCGGTTATCAACGAGAAGACCGTTGAGAGCGTTGAAAGCTTTACTGGCACCATCAGCTTTGGCGAAGGTGACGGTAGCAATGCCACGGCTGACACTGTTAGGGCCGTAGGAGAGCTCCACACGCTTGATAGGCCCAACCGAGGTCGCGAAATACTCCTATGGAGGGCACGAAGGTTAGTCTCAAGAAACGCATTCGAGGTTTGCGCAAGGCGGTAAAGTCAATATCGATGGTCGTGAGATCCTAGCCGACAGAGAAAGTCCAGGTTAAGCATCCAAAGGTAAGTCAACGTCAACGAGCACGCAGTGAGCGTTAGTAGTCAGCATCCAACCCAACAAAGAGTAAAATAACTCTGGAAAATTAGCCACCCGCCACTGCTGCCCTCAGCTTTAGAAATTTGGTCCACTCCAAGAAAAAAAAAAATCCATCTCCCACTGAAACCAGAGTGCTTCTAAAAAGCTACCTTCATGTTCTATACGAATTTATCGCGTCCGAGAACAAGATCGAAAGTTCGGTCCCACGTAGCCCAACATAGGCTAAGAAGTAATGATACTTAAGCTGAAGTTGGCAGCAGATGCTTCCCCTATTGTTTGCTCTAACGCTGTTGCTCACTGCCATGCTCGTTGGGTTGTAATTGTCCTATAGAAAGGATGAAGTCCCGCCAGAATAACAATCTCGTATGTCGAGATAACCAGCGTGTCACGATATCCTATAGTCCATTTACGTCTGCGCATTGTTGCCTACATGGAGGGTTGCCAAGCCTACCAGAGGTTAAACAATATGGGTGCGCGACAAGGACAGCTCAACTCGTTGACATCATGGCAGCGTAAGCCGCATATGTAGTCGGCAGAGGAGACCAGGCATTCTGACAGCTTCGTGCTGGCTAGATTTAACCATCTCTGGGTAAGAGGATAATCATTTCGATCGATTCAAGACACGACAGTGCGTTTCAAGGAAGATGTCGACGAAATTCCACAGGCGAAAGCCCTAGGAAACATACCTTTATTTGGCTTTCGTTCACATCTTTGGGCTAAAATAAGGTTAGCAATAAGGTTAGCTAAATCCGACCTGAAGATCGGATTATGTGTAATAATAACTTACTAGGTTGCTGACAACCACCTTGCTCTCTCCGTTAGCAGTTGCCTTAGCAGGAATCTGCTTGGCCGCCGCAGTGCGAGGCTGCCTTGACGTCTTCTGAACGCCACCGACGGGAGCAGTTGTTGTTCGTCTGGTTGATCGGCGTGGGTTTTGACGACCTTTACCGCCGGCACGGCGCTGGGTTGAGACGATTTCGTCCAAAGACTGGTCGAGCTTTCCAGACATGTTGATTGTGATTGATTACGGCTGATTATGAGATGGTTATGTATGACCAGAAGAACGCGATGAATATGCGCGTCGAAGGGTTAGGCTGCAGGTAGGATTGGCCTAACGGATGATGTGGCGAGGATGCGAGCGCAACGGCTTACGAAACAAATGCCGTTTATCAACAGCGATGATGATAAATGTCTAATGGTTGGTGATGGCTGAGATGGAAAAACTAGCCGTTTGCGCGTTACGAACGGAAAGAGATGGCGAATAAGTTTCGCGGGTAGAACAGATGCTCGTAGAAAAAAAAAATTATCTCGCGAGCTGGCAGGCGGCAACAAGACGGGACGGCTTAAGAAGTTGTATGTAACCGAAAAAAAGAAAAGAAAAATAAAATCGAAGGCGAAGCAACTTTGTAATATCCTCTTCCTATCGAAATTTTGAAGAAGGGAAGATGGATTGTTAAATTGGCGTTGGTTGTTGATAGAGTAGGAGAAGGTAGAAGTTGCTTGGGAAGAGGCGCAGTTACGAGGAAAGCAGGGACAGGGAGGGAGCGCGACGCTGGCAATTTGGGTGGAAAACAATGAGTCGCACAATCAACAGTCTCCACCATACGTGGCGTTAATTCTACCAATTAGGAATTAGCGCATGATCTTGTACTTTAGCTTGATACCTCTGCCTTCCATTTACGTTGGCCTTTAGGTACTTACATTCTTATGCGCATTGCGTAAAATACCTAGTATACTGTGAATAGATCTAATCTTATACAGGGAATAGACAACACTTGCCGTTCATTGACATGGGAAAAAAGCCTGGGCAACTTGAAGGTTCTATTCTTGACGTTGGTCACAAAAAATAGCTTGTTAAACAACAAATTTAATGCAGATAATCCAAACACAACACTCAAAGAATAAATGACTTGCAGCCTAACCGCGGCCCAGTATTCATATGACTTTATTTAAAGCTTTCCCACGGGTACCTAAGTGAGTCGCTGGGAAAATAGAGGCTGTCCAGCTTATTCCGGAACTCATAAGACTACCCTCTTATGCAGTGTATATTGGCAGTCCAGTCCACCTACTTCATTCTTCTCTCTAGCAGGTATCCGGATCGAGATGGATCAAAGATTTTGACCAGGCCATGTTTCCTCAGCTTTTAGCTTGACCAGGTCCCCGAACGTCCAAATCATACAGATTAACAACCAATCGTTCTGAATAACGTCTCTTATCTTCCGTAACGCCGCGTATTATAAGTACAGAATCATCGTATCTTCTACTTTGTTCCACCCGGTTGCTTTCCTACTGCTGCAGGTTGTTGTGACGGTACAGCTTTCGCGGCTTTCTCGCTAAGAGCGCTATCCTGCGAATTGACCTCGAAGAAATGGTATAGTACGATAAGGATCATAGCCGCTGAGCCAAGAAATACGGCTAGGGAGTACAGATCGTCGTCGGAGATCATGTTGACTTCACTTGAGGTAGGTTGGATTGGTGGTTGTTAAGAGAAGCTAGACTATGATGTCAATAATGTGCCATTGTTAATTAATTTTAAGTTATAGGGAAAACTTACTACGTATGTACCTCTGAGGAATCTCTTTATTGTCCCTATAGCAAGTAATATAGGGGAAGGTGAATGAGTGTTGGGTTGTAGATGATTGTCTTTACATGTCCGCGTTAGATAAATTGAGGCCAGCTAGAGCTTCGACCAGCGTCGTAATGTTCAGGTACAATGCAGTGTACTTACTTCAGTCTTCCAGGGGTTGATTATAGGTGTACTCCAAGAGTCCAAGCATTGGGCAACACTGCGGTATGTGGGACAGTATGTACTACAGTACTGTGGCTTGATTATTCTCCTGATACATGCATAAACGCCAAGTTTGAACATTGGAGTCTTTGCGTCGAGTAATGCGCCAAGTGATCCGCCACATTCTGATTCACGTGATGCTATCCCGAAAACCACATACTATGTACGTACCTAGTGTAGTGTATGTAGGTAACCCCCCGCTAGTTTACAGCCCACCATCTTTCATTCTTTAGTGTTCGCGATCATTAATAAAGTAATTGCCCTTAGGTGCATAAAGATCTTTCACCGAAGCCCTACAATTCCTTCTACATTAGCGTCGCCGGTTTCAAGTATTGACTGCTACTTTTACTCCGACGGGTTAAATATTAGTTCCTCTCTTCAATAGGATCCTCAATTACTTTTCCTACGACTCTTTCCTCAAGATGCCTCCGAAGAAGAAGGACGACCCCAAGGGCAAAAAGCCTTCAGCGGCCAAGGTTGCCGAGGACAAGACCTTTGGTATGAAAAATAAGAAGGGTTCTGCAGCCCAAAGGCAGATCAAGCAGATTCAAGCGTCAGCCAAAGCCGGAGGCAGCGCAGAAGAGAAAAGGAAGCAGGCCGAAAAGGAGGCTCGAGCCCGTGAGAAGAAGGCCGCCGAAGATGCCAAACGAGAAGCAGATGCTTTACTCAACAAGCCAGCACAGATTCAGAAAGTTCCCTTCGGCGTCGATCCCAAGACCGTTGTCTGCATATTTTTCAAGAAAGGAAACTGTGAGAAGGGAAAGAAGTGCAAATTTGCACACGATCTCTCGGTTGAACGAAAGACGGAAAAGAAGAACCTATACACAGATGGCCGGGCAGAAGAAGAAGAGCAGAAGAAGCAGGAGACATCTGAAGACTGGGATGAGGAGAAGCTGCGAAAGGTAGTCCTTTCCAAGAAGGGCAACCAAGTCACTACCACCGATAAAGTCTGCAAATACTTCATCGAAGCAATTGAAGACGGAAAATACGGCTGGTTTTGGACATGTCCGAACGGAGGAGATAAGTGCAAGTATAGACACGCTCTTCCACCTGGGTAAGTTCCTCCCCTACGTTGAATTTATATGGGACATGTTATGTTCTAACACCATCCAATTTAGTTTCGTGCTTAAGACGAAAGAGCAACGAGCAGCTGAGAAGGCACTTATGGATAAGTCTCCTCTCAAGACTCTCACCCTCGAGGATTTCCTGGAGTCGGAGAGGCACAAGCTTACTGGAACGCTCACTCCTGTCACCCCGGAAACTTTTGCCAAGTGGAAGAAGGACCGCTTAGACAAGAAGGCAGCCGAAGAACAGGCTCGCCAAGCCAAGGAATCGACTGGTCGTGCCTTGTTCGAGAGTGGCAACTGGAGATTCACGGAAGATGATGAGTCCGAAGATGAAGACGAAGACGATAGTGCCTGGAACCTGGAGAAGTTAAGGCAAGAAACACAAGCGATCCGAGACAAGAAAGAAGCGGAACGGCTAGCAGCTGCAGCAGGATACTCAGCTGATTCTAGCCAACCCCCGGGTACCGGCGATGGTACACCTGTAGCCGCAGGCGCCTGATTCTTACCCCATTGTAAAGGGGTAACGGAGTAAAATCTTCCAAGTAAACGGGTGTCCTGTCCTGGAGGAGGGGCACTCAATACAAGCAGCTGGTCAAAACCAACGGCATGCCGATGGCTCATCAATACCTATCGCATTTTGGACTGCTAAAATCGAGCGTAGGTCGAGCTACTACTGGTCTTGAACAGTGCGGGACAGTGGGAAACCTATTATTAAATTGACGGGTTTATTCCTCTGACTTAGGTTTACGTAGACCATACCAATCAGATTGATTCAAATGGGAAACATCGAGCCATTCAATTATTTTTATCCAACGTCTCTCGAAGGCAAGGTGGTTAGTACGACGAGGTAATTCCCTTTACTCTACTACTGTATGAACGTCTTGAGCACTCGAGTTGACGGGGGAAGATGTATCACGCAATTTGTCTGTATTCATCGGGCTTGTTTCAACGACCATCACAAAAGTTATAATCTCAACAAAATCGAGTCATTTATATTCGCATGCTCATATCCCCACGTGTGTTTGGAAGTCCAATCGTTTCAAAGAAATAACTGCGGCTCTGACCTTTCAGTTCTGGTTGCGATTGGGAAGTGAAGCTTAGAACTTCTCCACATAGGGCCTTATGTCTATCTCTTGTGTAAATGCGGAACGGTGCTGAGTGTGTAAATTCCAGTAGCTCTCGGCGATCTGGTTGTCAGTTAGCTTTAGGAAAGGGGGGTAAATCGTTTGGGTTACTGACCGCGTCGGCCCTGATCTTGCCATCCTCGGCGCCATTATTCACGCTATAGTGACTTGTCCGAGGAATGTCGATAACTCCGTCAACGATAGCGTGCGCTACGTGTACTCCCTTGGGTCCGAACTCACGTGCTAGGGACTGGCCAAGGGCTCGTCGAGCAAACATGCTTGCGGCCATTGTCGAGAACAGATACGAACCCCTGATAGAGGCTGTAGCACCTGTAATGAGTAGGGAAGGCGGGTGCTCCGACTCGGGAACTGCCTCTAGAAGTAGCGGAAGAGTCTTCTGGGCAAAGTTGAAGAGACCGCGACTATTATCCGGTTTGTCAGTTTAAGACGAAGAAGCCTGAGGTATCGGCACTTATACCAATTGCTTTGCCGCCAGCGTTGTTAATCTCTGCTACAGTGTCCTTGTATGACTCGGCTGTACGGGTCAAAAGTACGACGGGATAGGCCTTCGAGAAACGGATAGCACAAGCTCGGCCTTGAGAACATTTAGTGAAATGGGAGGTTATCTTATTCCTATGAAGCGCTTACCTGTGCCTGGGCCAGCACCAGCAACAACTGCAAATAACTTGGAAGACAACTTGGAAGCCATTTTTGATAAGAGTTCGTATTGTATTGTAAAATAGAGGTATGTAACTATTCCTTGTAGAAAGGCGTAGGGTTTTCTACTACTAGAGTTGGATATGGCTTGGAATAGAAGAGATCTGACAGAAGAGATTTGATCTCGGCTGGATCTCGAAGTTCACTTATTATAATGGACGATCTGTCGCACCTTTGTCTACCTACTTAGCAAATAATCTAGAATAATATGTGCCGCAATAGCGATTATTAATTACGCTTCCTCATCAGAAATTTAGTGTATTGATGAAAAATTCCTCAAGATGTCGCAATAGCCCGGCGGTCGAATAGCAAAGTTCAATATCATATGCACCCCTTCGGTTCGATGTTGCTAAAGACGATGACGTGCAGCATCAGTAATTGAAGAGCGCGGAGAGAGTAGCAATGGGGGAAAGCCAACTCGGGGCAGTCGGGGTCAGTTCATGCCGGAAGCTATGGCCACTAAAGTCTCGTAACGGAAGTCAACCGTACAAAGGAAACTTTGAAGTTAGCATTGAGAAATCATTTATTAACCGTTTTGGATTAATTCCCGTGCAATTCAATCAACAACTCAATTAACAACGCGATTAAATGAAACGATTGTTACTTCAATGATAATTAATACCTAAAAAAGGCACATAAAATTATCCAAATTCAAAGACCAGGTACCTATTAAATTCCAGCTTTAACTATAATTGTCGCATTGCATTTTAAAGGCTTTAACTGACCGGAATAACAGTGAAACGTTTTATGGCACTGTGATCAAAGGAATTATGGCTGAGAACGGCGCTTTTAGGCGCTTTTACGCAATTACTCCTTTCGCTACTGGCCTCAATGATGAGCTTGGGGAAGATATCCCTATACCACCTGTCGTTTCGGATATACTACAACCAAGCCAGAATGCTGTCCCAACAGCACCATTACCACTTTACTCAAACCAGCGAAATTCAGTCGGAGAACAAAAGGTTCAGGGGCCTTCTGCAGCCACCTCAGCATCACTATCGCAACCCAGGTCACAACTCGCTGTCCACATTAGGTCGTCAGCACCACCTTCACCATCTCATATCAGGCAACGACAGTCTACAGGGATAAGCCAGGAACCCCAACTCAGAGGCAGTCCTACAGCAGCGAGGCAAAATATCTCCGTCATTTTACCTCCAGTTCCCTTACAACGTAGCGTAGAAGGGGCTAGTTTCCAACCGAGGAAAAGGGGCAGGCCAAAGGGCTCCTATTCAGTCAAGAGAGAAGGCAACACGGAGAATGCTAAGCCCAGCGCGCCCAAGAAAGAACCCTCTAAAGAACCGAAGCGGCGCGGGAGGCCACCACGTGACCATACGCCCTCGGTTAGAGAATACTACCTACGGTCTAAGGTCGAATACGCACCATTTCTGTGTGAATGGAAATGTTCCTCGGGCCGTTCTTGTCCAGCCGAATTGCAAAACATGAAGACGTTACGCAGACATGTCTTCCTCGTCCACGGGGACGAAGACCCATTAGTCTGCCAGTGGGGTAAGTGCGCGGCAAGGGATACCCCTATAAAGTTCGCATCGGAAACGGAATTCGAGGAGCACATGGAGAAAGCGCATTTTAGGTCGTTCGTGTGGCACATGGGAGACGGGTACCAGAACGAGGGCATATCGACGCTGAAGCGCGACGCCGACGAGCTTCCGGAGTACTTGTTCGACGAAGACGGGAACCAAGTCACCCCGTCGATTGCGGAACAGCGACTTGAGGATGACCAAGAATATAAAGAGAGGAAACGGAAACTGAGGCGCCTGCTTATTCAACAGGATGAGAATGCTCCCACCGAAGAGGAATGGATGAGGCAGACGCTAGGACTCGTCTGATATAAGACGTCTAGTAATGGTGGTAGCGTCGTCCGTTATTGAACCGTGCCTTGGGTAAAATGTAATTTGGTCCATCTGATATCTGGTCGTACAGATTAGGTCTTTAGACTCGACTCCAAAGGGATGACTCCAAAGGGATGGCGGACTCCATACCCATTACCTTACCTATTTCTATATTTGATTAACCCTATGTAGGATGCAGTGCAGACGTGTATGACTGAAGTATCAAAGTTGTAATACAATCATATAATTATTAACGAGCATCCCGTTGGCTTGACATGAATTCTATTTGCCGTTGCATTAAGTACCTAAGTATGTATGCTTGTGGGTGCTAGGTTTTCGAAGGGCCGTCTTAAATAGATACATGGTAAAACATCGAGCTTGAGCTGAAAAGCTTACCGCATTGATCTACTTGAGGTCCCGAATCCAGCACGACGATGCCTTAGGTACCTAACCCAGGTAGGTAGGCAGCCTTACCAAGGTTAAGTAACTAGCCTATTGTACAATACAATCCAACCTACATACAATAGGTATGACGTGTTATGGGGCTACTCCTGTGGTAAGTTCACGGTGTTAATAGCGTATCGTCGACAAGGTCTGACAATCCATAAAATCTGGGCCCTGGCACGGATGTCCCTGATGACGTAGCAAACAGGGACATCTCTGAAACTACTACACGATAGTATTTGATGGATCCACGCTGTGCATTTGGTCCATTTGTCAGAAAAGTTCGAAACAAATATACGTATACCATAGTAACGTACACTAGTGTATGTCCTCAAATACCAACTAGACACGGTGGAGTACGTAGCTTGTCAAGATCTGTTCAATCAAAACTCATTGAAGTCTAGATTAGGTACCATCTACATTAGGTAGGTACCTATGTAATAAAAGACATCAGCATCAGCATGGAATTATTGTTGCCATACAGTTTATTGCCATTATTATGTCTGATACTTTATGATTTTAGGGGTTATTGATAACCGAAGAAGAAAAAAAGGAAGAGAACAATACCTTGGCAGGTCAGGTGAAATTGTGCAAATTTAATACCTGATTACCTGATTGCCGAACATTCGATAAAATCCCCAACGGAAATAACGGTGGCGTCCAAGAACCTTAGCCTTAACAGAATAATGCATAGAGCCTGAGGTACGTATCCACGAGTACCTAGACCTAACTTCTTAAATTTGACTCAGGGCTACCTCCTAGGCCTAGGTACTCGACATGTAAGTGGGAAGTTAAGATGTAGGTATTGCTAAGCCTGTAAGCCCGAATTCACAAAGTCGTGCTTCTCTTCAGACCATCCAAAGGGAATTGTAGCGTATCCCTTCAACTTCAACATTCCTATACATTGGTCAATTTTTCCTTCTCTTCTTTTTCTGTTGCCGTATATCCTTTTCCGCTTACCGAAACCCTTACCTCGTTTACAAGGAGAAACCCTTCCCTGTTGTCAGTGTCTACTAAGATTTATCGCGTACGTACGGTTGCACCCAAGTCTTAGGTTAGCCAGGTCCGTGTTTTTTTATTAGCGCATCCGCAGCTTTCGGAGAACAAGCAAGGCCCAGGACCACGAAGTTGGAACTTTACAGATACCCGAAAAGTCCTCATTAAGGAAGGAAAAAAGAATAAGATAAGCATTTATTCTCGTATTACGCCGCAGGGGAATAAGGAGGCAATACCTAAAGTTCAACAGAGCCTCTATTTCAGGGTTTGAGACATACAGTACCTTTTTCTTTTCTTATTATTATTAATGTAGAAATTATCAGTCGAAATTATCACTCGGATTTGATTAGCAAGCAAAAAAGAAAGAAGAAAAAAAACCCCCCAAGGCAAGTCGCACGCACACCTAAAGGCAAGAACCCGGGAACAACAAACGGTTATCCCAATCAGTCCAATCAGTTAACTTACCTAGAGGCTAGGTCTATCTGAAGTGCCCACCCCTTTTGCTTTTGCCCCTCGTTTTCAACTGGCTACTTGTGGGTCCGACTTTTCAGTGGCTCCCCTGACTTGCCCGGCTTGCCTAACCAAGTCTTCTTACCAAGTCTTCTTACCAAGTGAGCATAGCGCCTAAAACCAGCCCTGTCCCAGCGTGTTTCCAGCACTTCCCGACCCCCCAAAAGCTGCCCCAAGCGCTTACGCCAGGCCTAGTTTGGAACTGTCCAGCCATACGACACCTAGCCCCGCTGATTGCTGTAGTGCTTGTAGTGCTACATAGCCCTTTCTCCTGCTACCTTAACCAACTAATAACTTACCTAGACTGGTAGACAGGTTGCTTTGCCGTCGCCGCGCTACCTAGGTACTGTCGACATGGGGTCCGACGAGTTGATTGAACACCATTCCAACCTTAGTCACCCGTCTCAAAACCCTCCCTCACCAACAACATTTGTTACCAAACGAGGATCTTACTTCCGTATCAAAAAACGATTCACATCATGGCATCGCCCAAATGTTGACCTAAGGGATTCTGATATAGGCGACAACACCAACACCAACAATAACAACAACAGCGACACCGACACCGACAAGATGCCCGTCAAGTCGCCCGCCTCCGCTGGCAGTAATGGCCATAATGGCCATAATAGCCACTTCAACCAGAAGCTGAAGAATTTCTTCCGCATCAACTCCAACACTACTGGCGATAAGGAAAAGAGTCTAGACCACGCCTTGAAATCCGAGAGCAAGGTTGGCTTCCGCCAGTCGAGGAGATTTTTCACCAACGTCGGCAGGATTAGATCAACTACCACGGCCAGCGAAGGACATCCCCTGGACGATGCACTCAGTCCCACCGCCAATGCGAATCCCTATTTTGCCCATCAGGGCCAGCCTGGTCTTCGTCATCACAATGAAGGCTCTGTTCCGCCGAGTCCGCCGGATACGCCAAGCTTAAAAGTACACGGCCCCGACGGCGCGGCAGCGAAAGAACAGGCCACAAATGCCACGAAAGAAGAACTTGCTCGGAAGCTACGGAGAGTTGCAAGTGCCCCTAATGCTCAAGGCCTTTTCAGCCAAGGAAATGGCAGCGGAGAAAGGCCAGCTACAGCTGAACTCGGCAAGGAGCCGTTGATTCAAGGCGATAATGCTACCTCGTTGGGCTTGGTCGATGCTAAGACGACGCACTCGGCCGATTCTGGGGCTCTCGCCGTACCGGACAACGATAGCCTTGGCGCGCTTCCTCCTCCTCCAAGTCAGAACTCACTAGCTTTCCGTAGGACCTACAGTTCCAATTCGATCAAAGTCAGCACCGTTGAAGTCGGACCCTCTAGCTTTGACAAGATTAAGCTCATTGGGAAGGGTGATGTTGGAAAAGTCTACCTTGTAAGAGAGAAGAAGAGCTCTAGGCTTTATGCTATGAAGGGTAAGTTTTCGTTGCTGTAATTATTCGATATCTATCGAGTCGTGCTGACCCAAGCAGTCCTGAGCAAGAAGGAAATGATCAAGCGTAATAAGATCAAGAGAGCGTTGGCTGAACAAGAAATTCTGGCAACAAGTAACCACCCATTCATCGTGACCTTATATCACTCCTTCCAGTCCGAAGACCACCTATACCTCTGCATGGAATACTGCAGTGGCGGAGAGTTTTTCCGAGCCTTGCAAACTCGTCCCGGCAAATGTATTCCCGAAGATGATGCTCGCTTCTACGCTGCGGAGGTCACGGCTGCTCTCGAATACCTTCATCTAATGGGCTTTATCTACAGGGATTTAAAACCTGAGAGTATGATCATCATTCCCTTCCTACTCGAGCTGGACTAACCCAACCGCCAGATATTCTTCTACACCAGTCAGGACACATCATGCTTTCTGACTTCGATCTCTCGAAACAGTCGGATCCTGGCGGGAAGCCTACAATGATCATGGGCAAGAACGGTGCTAGCACCTCCTCGCTCCCTACGATAGATACGAAGTCGTGTATCGCCAACTTCCGAACGAATTCGTTTGTAGGAACTGAAGAATATATCGCTCCCGAGGTCATCAAAGGTAGTGGACACACGAGTGCTGTGGATTGGTGGACATTGGGTATCTTGATATACGAAATGTTGTACGGCACTACACCTTTCAAGGGCAAGAATCGTAACGCGACTTTTGCCAACATCCTCCGAGAGGAAATACCGTTCCCAGAGCATTCTGGAGCACCCCAGATTTCGAAGTATGTTGGACGTGACAACTACACTTTCGTACTGATGCTGACACCGTTATTTAGTCTCTGCAAGTCATTAATAAGAAAGCTCCTGATCAAAGATGAGACGCGAAGACTGGGCGCGAGAGCCGGGGCTTCCGATATCAAAGCACATCCGTTCTTCAGGACAACGCAATGGGCCCTTATTCGACATATGAAGCCGCCCATAATTCCTCACGCGGGTCGTGGAGTCGACACGGTCAATTTTAGAAATGTTAAAGAGAGCGAAAGCGTCGATATCACCGGCTCGAGACAGATGAAGGGCGTGCCATTAGACAGCAGCCTGGCAACGCCTGGCAACGAATTAGCCGACCCGTTCGAAGAATTCAATAGTGTGACATTACACCACGATGGCGACCCTTACGACAGTGACAGGTGATGATGCTAGAACAACGTCCCGGCCGGCACAGTCGATGTTCTGATCTATACCAGCCTCTTCGCATCCAACAGCATAGCATGCCTGTGTTGACGGCTAAACTTGTATGTGGCCATTGAAACGTGATATCCTATTTTTTTGCCACGCAGCGTTAATTTTCACGCATCGCCAGCGGGTTTGTACTATGAGCCTTGAAATAAACCGGGAAAATACTTGACCGTCCATTTATGAAGTCGTTTTCCTTCTGTCCTATTATTCATACCATAGGAGAAGATTGTGACCAGGGACTCAAACACGAAAGAAGGGAAAGGGGGAACCGATGGCGGCATCAACAAGCATTCATATGTACGGCGTTTTTTTTGTCGGGGACGAGGGAGTTCTTTTTTTTTTTGTTGTCGTTTTAACTTTTTCTTGGGACGGAAGATCGCAAAGAAAGAAAAAAAGGGACCGCGCGAAATTATAACAGCGACTTGCTCAACTTGCTCGTTCGCCTGATTTGTATGACAGTTGCAAATAATGTCATCATCACCACCATCATCGTCATCAATCGCCCTTTTATGCCAGAATTTGTTCTGTTAGAAGGTCTTGAGACGATAACAAGAAGAAACAGCCCGCGCTGCTTGCCCTGTTTATATAAGATAGCATAGCATTCATTACCTATTTTGTTGGAGTGTGTGTGTCTATGTCTTATTATTTTTTCTTCTCTTTGATCTTTTCTTTCCGTATGGTTACGTTGCGATACGATGGTAATGATGATGTTTTTTGGTCTTGTCGGACAGAGAGACAGACAGACAGACAGACAGACAGAGACAGATAGCTTTTTTTTTCTTCTAACATTTTACTTTTATAGAGGTGTCGAAGTCAAGTAATAAGTAGGTTGGTTGGTACATACATTAGGCTAGGTACAAATGTTTGAACAGAAAGATCGAGTAACCGAGAGAGGAATATGATGTTTATTAATGATTTTTGATTTTTGATTTTTTAAAGGGAAAATATAGCATCTGATCATGTTGTTGGAACCAACCAGAGATGCTAATAATATGCATGGTGAGGTTTGCGGCTGACCTCCCTGACTTTCCCGTCGGGTGGGTGTCATGTAGTATCCCCCCTGTGACCACTCATCCTAGCACAGCACCGGCACGAGGCTGCTTTCTAGACGAAGTTATGTATACTACCTCCCTAGGGCTCGATCCGATCGAATCTGATCTGGGGGTAGATAAATGTAGTTTTGCTTGGAAGGACATTTGGATGCCTACCTTACCTGTACTAATATTACTCAATGTCGTTACTACTCTGTGCGGGCGGTAGCATCCAGTACTGTTGCTACATATGACTGTTTCTCTCTTTCTTAGCTTGGATGTTACTCTGTTTTCAATGATCGCGCTGATTTAATATACACACCTACCTACCTAATATATCAAACAGTCAGAGCCGGGTTACCGAATACTACCTAACCTCCCTAGGTAGGTAGCTTAAGGATCGATATCCCAGAACCCGGTTTTGGAATAAATAGGTCCGGCACTCGTGCGAGAACGTTCTCGGAGACGAAACTTATAAATGCAAAAGACATACTTAGTATTATTATTATTCTTACAATAGAATGCGGATTTACGACTGAGGTATAGGTATATAAAGAATCGGAAGTTATGGGCTTGTGAGCGAAGAGCACTTGGATAGTTACGGGGAATCACTTTTTTATATATAGATTTCCTTATGCCGGTTTTCGATGAAGCAAAGCGTGCCTATGATATTGAGCAACAGTACAGACACTTCGACTATGGCGCAAGGGAACCTAGAACAGCAGGAGGGTTCACGAGGCTCGGCTTATGCGTTGGAATTGACGGAGAGCCAGCAGAGCTGCTCCCGGCGGCACTTTGCAAGTGCTGAAGAGCTACGCGCGGATATCCAACACCAGCAGGAGGAAGAACCGCCGCAGAGATCCGAGCCCCGACGCCGACTCCTGGTCCTACACAGGCTGTCCGCGGATTACACCCGTGCGTTGACAGACCTGCTGGATGTCGACGCAGGTTTTATCGACGCTCACGTTGGGGGGCTAAGCTACAGGCCCCTGGTGAGACGGAGACGGGACCGCGAGGCTAGATTCGTTTGCTTCGAGTATCCGGAGTTGCTCACGGTGCCGAAGGGGCTACCCACGGATGTGAAGAGGGCCCTGCTGGTAAGAGTGGATCATACCAAAGGTGGCGATGATGATGGTGATATTGTTAGAGAACCATTTTCCCAGGCTATCTCGGACGAGAAAGCGGTAGTGTTCTGCCGCGCCTCGCTATGGCAGTGCGCCAAAACCGACGGTAAGGATCCCTTTGACTATATATTATCTAAACGACATTTTTTTTTCTTTCTAACACTGTCGTGTAGTCCTTTTGCTAGACCGTCCGATAGACGATGAGATGCCCGGCTTCGAGTCGTTGCTATACCGTAGCTTATCGGAAGAATGGCGAGGCGATTATAATGGTAATGTACCTGATATGCGCGCTCTGGTGCAAGACCTCGCCGCGCACCAATGGAGCGAATTCTTCGATGCGGTGTTGTCTTCAAATATAAGACCCTCTAGCGCGCACCAGACGGCAGCGTTGTACTGGCAAGCACAGAAGAGCCTAGAGCGAAACCTAAGCAGTTCCGAGATCCGCGAGAAATCATCCGGATCGTCGGACCCCTATTACTCCCCCGAATCGAACTGGGAATCCCTCCTCTCCCGCCTCGGCCGACACGTTGCCCTCCTAAGCCATCTTGCCCCTATTTCCGCCTCTAGGCCCCTCCCCGACATCCCACCACCTAGACAACAACGCCTTACCACGAAAGCCATCCCTCCAACAGAACTGATCCCGCGCCGCCATTACCATTATCGCCATCGCGCACGTTCGCGCAGCGGAAACGCCTCCACGGCCGACGACCAGAACAAGCACGCGCTCGACCGCGTATCGTACATGGGCGGGATCCTCCTGCCCCTCTCCGTCGTCTCCAGCATCCTCTCCATGAGCGACCCCTTCGGCCCCACGGGCCCCCTGTTCTACGTCTTCTGGGCCGCCGCCGTGCCCCTCGTCTTCGTCGCCGTGCTCGTCATCTACGCCGACTCGATCCGCAAGGCCGAGGTGTGGATCGAGGTGGCGGGTAATAGCAATAGCAGTAATAATAATGATAGTAGTACCACTACCGCGGACATTAGCGAGGAAAAGCAGAAGCAACAGCAACAGCGACAGCGACAGCAACCAGAGAAGGATCTCGAGAGCCAGAGTGATATGTATGGTGGTGGTGGTGGTGGTAGTAGGGGGTTTGTTAGGCTCACGGCTCTGGGGAAGGGGAATGATAAAGAGGAAGAAGATGATGAAGAGGAAGAGGAGGAGGATAAGGAGGGTGAGGGGAAGAGGGACGATTCTTTTGATGAGCCGGTTATGATGGTGGAGAAATTATTCAAGGATACGGGGGGCAGGAAGTGGCAGAGAGAGCAGCTTGGTTGGGGAGGTGCTTGCATGACTGCCTTGCGGATTTACAAGCTCAAGAAGGGCAAACCGCCTAACTGGGTCAGACACGGGAGGACAGCTTAAAGAACATGGACACATATGTACCTAGCCTATTAACATAATATGATATGTGATTTCATCTCACATTGGAATTTCTTAGGGCTATGGCCGTTCCGTGTCCGAGTTAGTTTTTATTACCGACGGGTCTTCTTTTCCAAGAAGTTTAAGTTTCTTCTTCCGGTATTCATTATCGTGATTTGTGATGCAAAGCCGGAAGTGGACCACGAGTTCCATGCGAGGCATGGCCTTTACGATCTCACGGCACCAGGAGTGGTTCTGGTCGAATTGTTGTACGGCGTGAAGGACGGCTCCAGGGTCTATGAGCGACCTCACCTGGACCCTATGATCCGGCGAGACGAGGAGAGACGAGGATGGAACGTCGTCCTGGGCTTTGATCCAAACGTCTCTTAGATCGTTGTAGGAGTTTTCAACATACTTCTCATCCGCATCTACGATACCTTCAAGCCAATCTGCCGTTCTCCGCTATCCCACGTTTACTCGTTAGCAGCTATATTATGCCAGAATTCAATGGTGAGAAGAGAACCAAATGCAATCGCGGGACCAAATAACAGAGACATAAGCTCTATGCACAATATTCAGAGTCAAGTCTACTCGTCTCATAGGGGTCAATACAGGGGATACTTAAAACTTTGTTACTGACCTGGAAGTATGTCGGATCAGACTCTTCCACGTACAACTCTCTCAGTTGCCTTAGCTTCTCACGATCACGAGCATTAACGAGAAGGGTGTAACACCTATCAACCCCCTCTCCAAAAAGCGCTCGCACCCTGGCCGATCTGCCAAGGTGCATCAGTATGTTATCGTGGTAGAACAGATAGCGCGGCACGCCGGACCAGAAGCCTCGCTTGCGCTTCCACTGCTCGACTAAGAACTTGCCCAAAGTGCCCGACAGGGCCGCGAGGCTCACGCAGACGGGGCTCGCGGGGGAGCTGCCGAAGTAGAACCTGGTGACGGCCGGGTTGTTGACGTGCTCCATGACGAGGCCGTTCTGCTCCGTGACGTAGCCCCGGATGTGCTGGAACACGGAGTCGTCGAAGCACAGGGTGTCGGCCGACGGGTCGAACCACGTCATCTGCTTGAACACGCGGCACACGCCGCGCGGGTGGCTGCCGACGAACTTCCACGACCCGGTCCGCTGGGCGAAGCGCCTCGCCTCGCGGTTCACCGAGAGCAAGGGCGGCGGCGCCAGGATCACGGCTACCAGGTCGGAGCCGCGGGACCGCCAGGGGTCGTGGTCGAGCTCCTCGGAAACGTTGGCCTCGCCGTCCCGCCGGATCGATATCGTTTCGCTCCGGATCTCGAAGACGCGGCGCGGCAGGGCGAAGTGCCATACGAGATGCCGCAGCTCCGCCGGCAGGTCTGGAAATCGCGGGAACGAAGTCGCAACTACCGGTTCCGACTCCACCATAGCTTCTCGGTGGTGATTATCTAGGTAGGTATCTATAGGCGGCTTATGATATAAGAGTGCTGCTGCTGCTGATTTCTAGATTGGATTTTTGGTTCTGCAAGGAAGTAAGGTTATTGTATTCTAAGCGTTCTATACAAGGAGGCGATGAGGACAGTAGCCATGGTTAGGTATTTACTCAAGATTATTTACTAAATTTAAATTTTTCATGATTCAGCCGCGTGAAAGAATGAAGGCGATTGGCAACGAGCTATCCCGGCCGAGACTCGGTAGTCGGAAACCGACAACTTGTGAGCGGACGCAGCCGAGCCAAATGTAGGTACACATGTAAGTTGTATGATTCTCCGCCTGGGCTATAACAGGCGAGCATGTTTTAAAGAGCCATCCAAGGACCGAGTCTAGTCTAGGTAGTCAAGTCGGCCGACGCAAACAACGAGAACAAGAGTTGGTCCTCATGGTCGTTTGCTTTGTCTCTTCACATATACCTATCCGCTATCTATGCTGGGAATTTGTCGGAATTCGGACAAACACGTATAATTGCGGATCGGAGATGCGAAGCATAAAGGGGGGAAAAGGAGAAGAACTAGGTTAGGTATGTTTTCGAGGTAAGATACCTACTATACCTAATGCATATAAAGGAGTGCTGGAATGTTAGTGTACTTCGTATATCCGAGAATACCTAGGTACATTTCGGCGTCAAGCCATTACCAACCAAAAAGCCGTGATTGGCCCAAGAAAATCTCATCTGATCTTATCTCCGAACCGGTTCCTGGGAAGTTGCATCGGGAGACGGTACAAAGCGAGGTACATTGCATTGTGCGTTCGACTTAGGTAGGTACATAAAAAATCTCCAGCTTTGGTTCCGGGTAAGCCCCGCACTTGACCTACCGTTTTCCATAGTGGGGTGGGCACCGGACGAGCTCAGAGGTTAGCAGTGAAAACGAACCCCTCCACGCCGTTAAACAAGACGCGTTTACTTAATCTACCTAGGTACCTTCACTTTCGCAACCCGCGACCCGCGTTTTTCAAACAACAACACAATATAACGATCCAAACATAATAGTTTACGCCTACACCCTACCATCGCCAAAAAATCCCCATCGCGATGGAAGGCCAGACACCCAACCCCTTATTATTGCCGCCGGACCTCACGCCGCTCGAGCAGGAGCTCCTCGACGAATACGAGCGGCTAGCCGAGAACATGAAGAAGGTAAGTTCTAGCCTATAGCCTAGCCCGTCTCACGCACGCAACGCACGCAACCAAACCAAACCCAAATCTCACCCGCCGCAGCTCGCATCCGTACTAGACGCCATGGCCGGCCAGCCGACGACCGAGATCCTCGACGGCCTGCGCGAGCTCGAGCGCAAGACGAGCCTGGTGTTCACCCTGCTGAAGGCTAGCGTTTACAGCATCGTGCTGCAGCAGGAGATCGACTGGGGCGACCAGACGCACGGTTGATGCAGGGTATGATGGTGTAGTTATACACAAGGAAGAAATGACAAAAAAAGAAAAAGAAAAAAGAAAAGAAAAGAGAAAAATAAAATGGCAACACCCAGATGTATAGGTATATATGTCGACTCTCGACTCCCGACTCCCTTAGCTACGGAACAATTGGGCTACGTATGCACAAGAGCATCCATCCATCATATCCCCGGGTCTAGACTACATCTGGATCAAACGCAAACTGGTTGGAAGAATCTGCATGCTCGATACATATGATGGGGAGCCGTATCGTGCGGCTGGTATTGAGGGGAGAGAGAGAGAGAGCACGGTATGCGCATATAAGCTTATAACGGCTTTTTACACCGTTGTGGTTGGTATATGAAGATATGCGCGAGAATGAGGATACGATACCAGCGAGATTCAGCTCTGAGGACTCGGTATATCTACAGGGAGCATGATAGGCATGCGAGGATAAATCACGGAAAAGGTTTGAGATACCCAAATACGCCAAGAAGAAACAAAAAAAATAAAAATAAAGAAATCATAATACACCGGAAAAATACAGCACGTAAACTGCATTTTTGTTTGATTTAAAGGGTGGCAGGCATTATCTACAAGATATATGTGTTTGTTTTTTTCTTCTTCTTTACATGATTTGCTCTAGTTTTAGTGTACATTTCCACCGTAGTAGACCTTGCGCAAATCGACGAGCTTCCTGCCCATGCCGGTAGCGATCTCGTCGGGATCCCGCTGGTTCTGCAGGGCCTGCACGCAGGCCTTGACCGAGTTCATCGGGTTTCGACCCCGCGGCATCTTGGCCGCGATATCGCGGATGCCGGCCGAGCGGAAGATCTCGAAGAGACGGTGCGAGGCGCGTAGACCGAAACCTTGGGGGAGCAAGCATTAGCAAAAATATAGCTTTTTTATGACTTTCTTTTTTTGTTGCACGGTACATGGAAAATGCGGGGGAGGGGTAATTATATATATACTATACATGGGTAAAAACAAGAAAAAAAGAGAGAAAAAAGAAAAGACTTACCAGGGGGTCTGGCTTCTATTTGAACTATAGTCGCACCAACCTTAGCCTTCACATTGCCGTAGATAGTCCTGTCCTCGTATCTGCGGACGGGCTGCATGTTCTGGATGGCGAGGAGCTTCGCCTTCTGGCGGGCGACGGCCATCTCGACGGACTTGGCCTCGCCGATGCCGAGGCGGCCGTCGCCGTTGCCGGCGATAGCCAAGATCCAGGTGCTGCGGATCTTTCCGAGACGGGTCTGGTTGTGGACGACGCGCGTGACGAGGATCTTGCTGTTGATCTCGAGGATGCGCCGCACGCTCAGGCCCGACCGCCGCTTCAGGTCCTGGTATATGCCCTGGTCGTCCTTGCCCTCGTCCTCCGGGTCGATCGGCGGCTTGTACAGGCCCTCGACCCCGCGCAGCTTCTTGCCCAGCGCCGGCGCGACCGCCGAGTTCGAGGGGCCGTTCGTCTTCGTCATCGTCTCCGGTTCCTGGAAGTACTTGGCCTCCTCCATGGGGAAGTCGATGCGCTGGTCTAGGATCTTCTCTATCTCGTCGTCGGGAAGCTCGTTGAAGTTCACGTCCTTCGGTATCATGGCCTCGAGCCGCCTCGTGAGGTCCGCCACGTCCTCCTGCTCCGTCATGAACCGCGCGTTCGGGTTGGGCGGCGGGTAGATCTTGGGACGCTTGTCGACGATGGGGTAGATCTTGCTGAAGTCGTCGAGATAGGGTATCCTATAAGGATCCCTTCGTATGCGACCTTGTATCGTCAGGTCTTTGGGGTCGATAGCGGCCTCGCCGGCTTCGAGGGCGGCCATCTGTTCGGGCGTGTACCTCTTCCTCAGAACCTCGAGCTCCTCCGGGCTGTAGCGGGGGAACACCTTGTTACCGTACTCCTCGATCTTCTCGGGGGTGGTCAGACCGATCTCCTCGGCCCGTATGCTCTTGAATCTCGGTTTCCGCCTGGCAGCGAGCTGCGCGGAGGTGTGAAACGGGGCGTGGCATTGCGATGCCGGTGCTGCTGGTTTGGCCGCGGCAGCAAGCCGCCTGGAGAGCAGACACCGTGCTGGTCGTGCTACGCTCATCGCATCCCTAGCGTTCAAAATACCCGCCCTAGTTATGGCTGCGATGGCGCAGAAGAGGAATGATAGGGTCGCGTGAAGATATGAAGCTTCGATTGGTACATATCAAAAGGTACATGGCATAGGAAATTATTTTTTAGAAGCCCTCCATTGCTCAATTCGGTCATACGTTTCGCCGGCAAACAAGGTACAGGTGCTTTCCCATTTAATTTTGACTTTGACCGTCCACCTACCTTACGCCTTTGAGTTTTAATATGTGGGTCACACTCTCGTAGTTTATTGGTTTATGCTTATTGTTAGCGACTTTAGGTACCTGACTTGTACAATACGTACAGGTACACTTCGGATGCTAATGGTACGATTAGTTACAGTTTATATCCGCCTTTTTCTTCCTACCCGACAACTCCTTCAGTTAATATAGAGAATAGAATAAAAGTATGACACCACGCAAGTCATCAATTGGAATTCCTACCTAACTTTAGGTATAGTGATGGTCAGTCTCTTGACTTCCAATTATGACAGTGCATGTCGAGATCTAGACAATGACAGAAGCTGACGCCCTGACCATATTTATCCCTCATTGACCTTGTCAATGATTGGGCCATCCTAAATAATAAATCTGTCGACTCTGCCGCAGCTTTGAAACGCAAGGGTTTCACAGGGATTCTCGACATCGTCAGTTCTAATATCAGTCGAGACCACGAACGCTAAGAGAGGCACTTTGCCTCTACTTTACTTACGTTTCTCTTACCCTTAGGTAATTTTTCCATTATTGTAGCCTAGATCCCCTTCCCATTCCCCGTACCCAAACCTGGCCCGTCCATTCTCTCCCTTTTACCTAATCTTGCGAGAAAAAAAAAAGTGAAGCCATCATCATCGACTTTCCCTTCTTTTACTTCCTTTCTAGTGTGACTGGTGCACCATAATCTTTTTTTGTTTGTTTTGCTAGCGCGTAGCCTCTCTTTTTTGATCATCGCACGCATTCGCTGCATCTATCTATCCCAGTGACTTTTGGATTCAAGATCGAATAATCCTAACAAACCCTTCCACGAGAATTCGAACATCCCGTTGCCGAAGTTCAAAAATATCAATTCACAATGTCTCAAAAAGCAAACTTACCGAGCCCTCCCGGCGGTCAATTTGGATTCATGTCCAAGATCGGTGCCACGGATGAAGCCGTCCGCACCTTAAACGACCAGCCGTACCTATTCACCATTCTCGTCGTCGTCCTCGTCTCGCTCATCCTCGAGTGCGTTTTCATCTGGTTCATCCACTACGCCACCATGAAGCCTGAGCAGAAGAAGAAGAAGGAACCTAAAGGAGCTAAAAAGGCTCCAGGAGCAAAGCCCCCGGCAGCTCGATAAAGGCCTTCTATCGTAAGACGGTTTTGATACGAAATTCGAAAGCGTTGCGACAAGTTTTTTTTTATTGGGATAAAACTCGGCAGTCATGTTCTTTTGCGACCACTCACTGCCACCGCCTTTGTCGAGGAACTATCATGTATCGAAACCTGGAAGTCTTGAGCGATGCAACCAACACTTATTAGAGGGCTGAGCGGATAGGGGCCCTCGGTCATCACCATTCGGATGGGTGGCGATATAGATGAAGAAGGGTAGCATTTAGAGACGCTTCGACGACAGCAGGCCGCGTCTAGCACTCATAATTATTATGTTAGGTATTTACCAGTTATATGGTCTATCAATATTGTCAATACATTTCTATATCCTGAGCACCTGCTCGTTCCCCATTGTCATCATTGTCGTGATCTATTGCTCCTTCATCTATCGTGGGATCATCGTCTTCAGCATTATACATACTTTGTTCCATGCCCCAGAGCATATGTCCGGTGTTACATGGCAGCTCATCTGTATCGTCGTAGATGTCCGCAACGTCGTAGGCATAATCAGGTGTGTATAGATCATCCATGTCCATAATAGGATTCCTAAAATGGTCGGGAAGGTATTGCTGAATGGTTGAAGCGTCCCGTAGTTCTAGTATACCCGAAGATCGGAGAGGGAGAGCATCCGGAGGACTACTGCCCGGTGAATGGCTTGGTTCCCTCTCTATTTTGTCAATGACTCCTGGAAGAGCGTCTTCATCAAGAACAATCATATTCTGGTTCTCATAATAACATTGCTCGTATTCGGGTGTTACGTCGAAATTATTCCTACATTCCTCATCTAGAGGCTCTAGAGACTCGAGATGCTGATAAGGATATTCGAAGTTAAAGTCGTTGTCGGTGCTTCCGTCTAGCATGTAGAAATAATCGCCGTTTTCATATCCCTCTAAGTTCATGTCTGGAGGCATAACCATGAGAGGCCAATTGGTGTTTTCGCGTCGGGGTGTATCAACACCAATCCCAGTCTTCTTTATTTGAATAGTCGGTTTTAGTGTTGTTTGTACCAAATCCCAAAGCCTTTTCTGGATGGAACATAGATAGGCGTTTGGTTCGACTTCAGTCTCCATGCTATCACAGTCTTTGTCGCGGGAGACATCTTCTAGCAATAGCTTCCTACCTTTTTGCCGTACAGATGCCGACTGATGTTGCGATGATTTAGCCAGAATGGTTGAAATAATGGGAATGGTCTTTGCATGACACGCCACTACCTAAATCTTGTCAGACATAGTTTCCATTCTTGTAAGAGAATTCTCAAACCTTTAGATAGTGAGCGTTCCAGATAGCAGGGGCCAGTTCAAGCAGCGAGGGGCGGGTATCCAGATGGAATAATCGTAAGCCACGCATACGCTTCCTGATACCAATGGTTACGCATAGCGCCCTTTGAGCTAAGTAACCCGCATCCTCCCATTGTTGCCTAGAATGATCGGCGAAAGAATCTAGCATTGGCTCTTCCCAATAGTAATCATGGACTGCACTGTTGGAAGTGTCGTCTGTCAAGTCTGATACTTGGTATTGTAGAGCTGCCTTGAAGGCACAGTCTTCGGTATCAACGTCGCAATTTCTGGATTCTCCAGCATCTGTCTTGTCTATATCTGAGCTATTTGTTTGGTAACGAAATAAACACTCTATTCCATTGAGACGAGCGGTTGGACTATGCGGTGGTGAGAGGAGTACAGACGACTTATGTAGGTGTTCGATAATGAAATAGAGGTTTGGGGCTCCGTCGTAGAGCGGTTCATACTGGATGTCTTCTTGTTTGATCGTAAGGCCAAGGGCAGGCCAGAGCTGGATAAATTCGTATAAGTGGCTAATAGCATGGTTCAGTAGCGGTGACTTACTGGACATCGACAGATTGCATCGGCTAGATATTCTAGGAAGCCAGGCTCAGTCTCTCCCATTAATAAAGACACCTGATTCTGCACTACTATGATTTGCATTCGGCATATACCAGGAGAAACAAGCCATAGCTCTTTTGACTGAATTGATTGGAAAAGCTTCTCAGGGGTATGTTGAGAGGATGGTACATCTGAGATCAGCGCAAGGGATGTCACGGATAAGGAGGAACCACACTCTGGGCTGGAAAGTTCGAAGGTCTTGAGTTCAAGCTCAGTATACTCAGCCATGATAAGACAGATGGCTCAACATGTTTATAAAGCTTCTCGTGCTGAGGGTAAGGTTGATGTTATATCCATATCTGAGAACATAATATATGTGGTATATATGAGGTAGGGAGTAAATTTGAATTGGGTAATATTGATACCTATTTTGTGAGGGAGAAAATGGATGGTGGTTGTTCGAACTGTACATGAAGATTTTGATTTCTGACTTTTTTCTCTCACCTTTGACCCTAGAGTATATAGAATCGGAAACGACGACGAAAAGTCAAGACCCCTGGAAAGAGCGAACTTAGAGTATGAGGTGCATACGCCAATTGGTATCGCAACTTCTTTATTACCTAGGTATATATTACCTAAGTAGGTTCTATCCACCTTAGGTATCTAGAAACGTAACTTACACCTCTTTTCTCCAGGCCGTGGTTTATATATGTACATATGTACATAGGATAGATATTATATAAGGGATGAGATAACTTTCAGCTGACCTTGAAAAATGGGTGAGTATAAAAAAACAACCCTCCAGTACTAGTTACGGCGTCGGGAGTATCGAAAGTTAGTTAGATTTTCTCTTATACAGCTTAGTTATACATCGTATAGGATCTCATATTTATTTATGGGAGATCTAAAGGTGTCCGTTGGCTTCCTGCCGCAGGTGGAACCGGCGTTACCGACTCTGCTGGAATCTTTCGTCTTGGTCGCTTCAAATCTTCCAGTGTAATTCCGTCCAGCTTGGTAATTCCAACTATTGGCGGCTCGCCCTTCTTCACAAATTCCCATTGACCTGAACATGATGTTAGAATGGCGTATACATCTAGTATTACGCGTAGAGCATGGAGACTTACCGGGTAGCTTATTACCAGCTAACCGGAATGCATCACGCGCAACTTGCTCGTGGATCATTCCTCTTAATTCTAGTACGATCTGATTCACTGCTACTCTTGCTGCCCAGTGATCGAATGAACCTTTTCCTTTACCCATACGAATCTACGAATACGAGTTAGTTCTAGAGGGACATTTAAATATAGCGAGCATCAGGGCGATAGGGCGGCAGACCTCATTACCGCTAACGAACACGCCAACGTTACAGCAGACTCTCTTATATAATCGGTACTTCTGGCCACGCAGACGTTGTTTGATAGTGTCTTCCGCGATCTTGAGACTTGAAGCGCTAATCCTTCGATGGTGATCAATCATTCGTAGTCCGTAGTCTCCCCACATCACTGTCGTTCCCTTAGTAGAACCACCCGTCGCCACTCTTGCCCGTCCCTTCATCATCTTCTGCTTGCGATTTATATTGGGCTCTAACCAGTTGCCGCCCATCGACGCGGTTGCCGAAAAGAGACGGACATTTTGAGCACCTTGTATCTTCGGGAGCGCAATCGACGTGCTGGGATGGACCAATGGGCGCGTTGTTGGAGTATGGGATATCCTAAGTGACCGGAAAGCGCCGACAAGGCATGACGGCGCTTTAGAATTCATGGTTGCGAGGAATTGGCGGTTTATTAATTCTTGAAAGCTGCCGTCATCACCTCGCACCTTGAAATTTGACTATTGAAGTTCGAACAGCGACCAAAAAGATGCAACCGCTGGTGGGGTTAGGTACCTAGGTACTTTATGTTTGGTATTGTACTGTACATAGTTACTTGCATTAACCCTGTACCTGCATTTGGAGCGATTAAATGATTAGATGATCTCAGAGATTACATAAGATAGTCAAATTGTGGATCCGTACAATACAAACCTAAGGTACCCTTAAAGCTCCACCGAGGTCGTCACAACGGAACGTGGCCAGAACTTGATAAGGGATTGATAAGGTTTAGCTATGGTTCCGGAAGAACCTTGGTCCCCTACTTTTCTTATAGGTACCTACCTATCACTGGCTGTAATTTAATGCGACGGATTCTCTATTATTCTTCTTGGACTGCTTGTCGCTTCTACGCTTCTACGCATTCTGACATAAAGAGTTCTCTTCTCGTCTTGTTCTGCTAGCCCAATCAATCCCTTTCCTTTAATTCATCAAATTGTCCTGCGCATACCTGCGACTCTAATCAAAATGGCTATCCTCAGTCCTCAAGTGTATGTGCTGTCAATTTTATCTCGCACTTGTGCATCGGTGCATTGGTGAAGTAGTAACTAACAGAGCCTCGACAGAACTAACATTATCATCATCCTTGGGATGATGCAAGTATCCAAGAAGATCCCGTTCGAAGATCCCGACGTCCTCAACATGGTTCGCGGGCTCTACGTCGCCAGCAATGTTATCATTGCTTGCATCTACGTATATATCCAATTCCAGATTAACAAGAAAAAGGGTATGACCTCCCCTCAGAAGATCATACTGCATACCTAGACTGTTGATGCTAATCCATAAATCCTGCTGTTTAGATCTTACAACACTCAAATATGTTGAACCCGCTCCGATGGGATCTTCGGAGGAAGGCAAGCTTGTGACCACCACCGTCCAGGCTTACGACACGCAACAATTGAAGAACTCCTTCCGATCGCAAATCATGGGTCTTGCGATGATGAGCTTCATGCACCTGTACATGAAGTACACCAACCCGCTTTTGATCCAGTCCATCATCCCGTTCAAGAGCGCCCTCGAGTCCAACCTAGCTAAGATTCACCTCTTCGGCCAGCCGGCGAGCGGAGATCTCAAACGACCCTTCAAGCAACCTGCTGGACTTATGAGCGGTCTCCAGAGTGGCCCTGCGCAGAGCGACAAGAAGGCCGTTGAAGCGGCCGAACGTGCCGGCCGGGGTGGTGTTAAGGACGAGTAACGACGTTATCAGTGACTTATTATATTCATCTCAGAAGAGGTTTAATGAAGGCACGTGCAGCATAATTTTGACGCTGTGAGCGAAGGAGATTATGGATGTCTAATCACCACCATAGAGAGGATTCATATTGCAAATATATGAACTTGCATAATTCTTGCATAGGACGTATTTCATGTTGCGCACATTCAGTTTTGGTGATTGGAACTTCAATGTTTGACGCACTTGTGAAGGTATACATGGTACCTGATACGTACAATGTACAAGCTCCGGGTTGTCCGGGGTGGCGTATTAGACCGTTTTCCACCCCCCCGACGTCACTGGCTTACATGATTATGTATTAATTGAACCCTTGAAATTACAGAGGTAATGCACGTTCTCATTCCGCAACCAATCGTAAAAGACTAATCTACTTAATAGTCCAGGCTACCAGGTTATAACTTCAAAGTTCTTACCCATTCATCCTTCTGCGCTTATATAGTACGCATGATCATAATACTGCCTCGTTGAAATGGAGCGTCCTTCTACGCCTCCGCACGCGGCAAACGCTAACCTCTCTAAACCCATACCATCCCCTCCTACACCTGAAATTACCCGTCGCATAGTGAGTTAGCCCTTGGATAGAAATTGGTTCCAATTACATCTAATACTTGAAGCTCTATTCTAACGTATATCGCATCTACAGGAAGAGAATCGCCTCCGAGCTAAGGCATTACGCGAACAACACGAGTCCGCCGCTCGAGCATCTGGCGCCCCTTCTATCTCTCGCACTCCATCTGGCTTCATTGCCACCGATAATGTCCGAGTTCCGAACACACGCAAGCGTGCTCACGATGCTATATCTGGTAGCGTTCGAGTCCGCGAGACTCCGTCTACAAGCCGCGACGGTCGCGCTAATGGCGCATCACCTGCTAAGACTGCTTCTGGCGACAGTGCCGACCAGGCAAAGAAGGACAAAGATGATGGGGCAATTAGACCCGCAAGGAAGTTTACCAAGTTCGTCGACTACGACTTGGGCAAGATGACAGATACGAAAGGTGGTTTCCTGAGTGCCGAGGACGATCCTTGGAACAAAGCCATGTCGGGGTCTACTACGAAGGGGAACGGAAAGGGTAGCGGGCCTAACGAAGGACAAGAAGAGAGGCCTAAGGGCATGTCATTGCAGGAGTGGGAAAGACGGCAGTTACTGAAGAAGCTCCAACGGCAGAAAGCAGGACCATTTGAACCAGGTATAAGCGTGCTACGGGATGAAAAGGAGCGGAAGAGGTGTCGCGAGTGCAGGAGTCTCGAAATCGACTTCGTATGGGAGGAGGTTTTTGGGTGTGCTGTCTGCAACAGTTGCAAGGACAAGTACCCTGAGAAATACAGTCTTCTGACCAAGACGGAGTGTAGGGAGGACTATCTTCTTACGGAGCCAGAGCTGAAGGACGAAGAATTACTACCCCACCTCTCAAAGCCAAACCCGCACAAGTCCCACTGGCATGATATGATGCTGTTCCTTCGGTACCAGGTCGAGGAGTACGCATTTAGCGATAAGAAGTGGGGGTCGGCAGAAGCGCTGGACGCCGAGTTCGAGCGTCGCGAGGCGGAGAAGAAGAAACGGAAAGAAGCTAAATTCAAGGAAAAGCTGTTAGACTTGAAGAAGCGGACGAGAACGGAAGCGTATCGGAGGCAAGCAGGAAAGCTCGGAGGAGACGGAGCTACTGGCGGTAAGAAAGCCAAATTCGGCGACACGATTTCGACCGGTGGCAAACATGTTCACGAATGGGGACGAGTTATCGAGAAAGAAGACGGATCAACAGTGAAGACGTGCACGACCTGCGGTATGGAAGTTGAGGAAATGGAGTTTTAGGGGTTACGAATAGTGGCACCCAGTTATGCAGTATTATATAGAGAATTGCATAGAGAATTGTATAGAGAGCACTACATGCTAGGTACCTAATTGGCAGTTCGTTTATGGAGACAGCTAATAGCCTAATAGTCACAAAGTTGATGAGATCGAGATTCGTGTTCCCAATCCACGCGCCAATGCTACTCTTACGCACAATGACAAATCATACAGAGCTGTAAACTCGTCCTTATTTATTGTAGGCCGACAGAGCGAGATAATCCTATAGCTAGAATACTTATGACCCACCAAAGACCTACCAGGTAGGTAAAGATTCCATTCGCCTTTCTCTGGGGTAGGTATGCCTGGAAATCGGAACATTTTAATGCAAATTGTCCGCGTCGTCTCCCGACCCTCGGCCTTTCGCTTCAGCGTCTGAACCGACTTATACGGATCCGTAGGATTGAGCGAGATAATGAGTACCTACCTGGTATACACACACTGCTAAAGTAAACAAACTCCTATTTTATTTAAGTATGACGGTGAATGCCAGTTTTAACTGATATTGAGAATTACTGCGATATCACTTACACACGCGTAGTATATACCTAATAAAGGGGTAAACATATAATAAGTCGCAAAAATTTACGAGCATGGAAGCATTGGGTAACCTCGGACGTAGCCAACTTTTGTTAATCGCTACAGGGGTCGCTATACTAGGCGTACGAAACCTGAAAATACCTAATATAGAAAACGTATATATCAGATAACTAGGGCTAACAACTTCACAGTACGTCTATACTATCTTCAGCAACCCCCTGAGAAGAATACCAGGTCCTTGGTATACGTTATGGACCTACACTATTTTCAAGTACAAAGTTGTTACCGGTCAGCGGCCACAATGGGTTCATTCGTTGCATGAGAAATATGGTACGTTTATCCTCAGATAGAAGAAACGACAACGACTTTACTCTCTAACTACGACTTGACGTAAACGTAGGCCCCGTCGTTCGCATAACTCCTAATGAGGTCAGCATACAAGATGTGAATGCCGTCCTGCGGATGTACCAGATCAAGGGCGAGTTCCTCAAGTCGCACTTCTACAAGGATTTAATCCCAGATGTCCAGAGTGTCTTCAGCACGACCGACGTCAACTATCACCGACACCAACGAAGGCTCCTCGCGTCCGAGATGTCAGAGTCGGGATTGGCCCACCATATGGATACGGTCGAAACTAAGGTTCGCATGGCGATTGAAAATATGGCCGAGGAAATGGAGCAGCGCGGTGCTACGGTAAGTTGCTACCTAATTTGTTGGGAGACAAAGTCGTAGTAATTACTAACTCGGGCCCTTTCTATGTACCTTGTAAAGGATGTGTATCGTTGGTCATTGTATATGGCCACTGATGTGATCGGCGAGCTCAGCTTCGGGTCTTCGTTTCGCATGCTAGAAACCAAAGAGGTGAGTGGGCTTACTTTCAACTCCTCACTTTCTCCAATTATATAATATCTGTCTTTACCACTGACGCTGTTGTCTTCTTCGCGAGTAATAGGAGAACCAGTATGTCAAGGATTTGAAGATGATAGGCTTTGCCGGTGGTCTGAGGTCAACGTTCCCTTTCCTCATGAAAGTCCACCGGTATATAACGCTGCCTGTTCTGAGCACCGGGATGCTGATCCGGGAGCGCATGCGCGGATACGCGACGCAGTCCCTAGGCCGGCACTACAAACTAGTCGAAGAGCAAGGGCGCAACGCGAAGCCGACGCTTCTATCCAAGCTGTACCGGGCTACGGAGGATGACCATGACACGCTGCCCTTCGAGGACCTACTTCAGAATGCCATGGCGTACATCGCGGCCGGAAGCGACACTACTACGAACACCCTGACGTACCTCATCTGGACCGTGTGTAAACGCCCCGACGTCAAGGCGAAGCTGGTAGCGGAACTGAGCACGCTGCCGGATGGCTTTACGGACCATGACCTCAAGAAGCTCCCCTATCTCGAAATGGTCGTCCAGGAGACCCTGCGCTTATACGCCGCCGCCCCTTCGGGTCTCCCTCGCGTCGTGCCCCAGGGAGGCGCTACTCTGACCGGCCACTTCATCCCCGGCGGCTACACGGTCTCGGCGCAGGCGTACAGCATGCACAGGATCCCGTCCGTCTACCCCGAGCCGGAGAAGTACGATCCCTCGAGATGGGCGAATCCGACGAGAGCGATGAAGGACGCGTTTGTGCCGTTCGGCGGAGGGAGTCGAAGTAAGTTTCTCCAATAAATATATTTGTTTTCAATAGAACGTTCCATCTCTAATTGCGAATATGATAGTCTGCATTGGTTTACATTTAGCGAAGATGGAACTGCGTCTCGCGACCGCGCGGTTCTTCACTCGGTTCCCCAATGCCACTACCTCGTATCTAGATGGATTCACGGACAAGGATATGGAGCCTGTGATGTTCTTCCTTATGTCCCCGAAGGGTCAGCGCTGCTTAATTAATGCCCGTTAAGGCAGGCTGAGGGCGCCTGTTTAACTACATTTTTATAGGAGGTAGCCTTGTAGAGAGAGAGGGGGGGAGGAGCATGTTGGAAGAATAGTCACTGTATGCTGACGAAGTGTATATGCCAATATGATGAGATTGCGCTGTCTAACATATTAAGCGGTTCCGCTACGACGGGAAAGGTTTGTACGATCTCAGCCGTGTTGTATATCTACGGAAAGACGGTCGGAGATGCACATATAGTATAATAAGATGTTCAATAGCTCGTCTCTGCGGTTATTAGAAACTCCCTAGGTACCTAATCTATATAATTGGTAACAGAGTCTATTGTTACCGTAGCATAGAGACGTATAATTAGTAACAATTTGCTGGTTGGAACTTGGCAAGTTATATCGCTTCTGTTGGTCAATGATTGCCGTTCCTGACAGCCTTACACACCTAACCGTTAATACTACCTAGCCTACCCGGTATATAAGCATCCCTTAAGAAGCAATATCTTACATGTTATAGAAAGCCTCGCCCCCACCTACCATCCAGTCTCCCGTCTTCCGGAATTGCAACCACATAAGGCCCATCCACATGGGATGGGTGTGATACTGCATAATTACTACCTACTTTTTCGTGTCTCGAAAATCCATTTATCGATTCCGGGGCTGTTAGTTTGATATCGAACTAATAATGGGGGCTTACGGTGTTTCTCTTGTCTTACTGACCGCGGTGGGCGCGCTTATATTGAACTTTGTCTGTAACTTATATCGCCATCGACGGGTTTTCAAGGACTTGGTACGAATTGGTCCTCTCTCACACACACCTATATCACGCTATGAAAACAGAGAGAAAACACGAGACTAATGGAGAATAGCCCAAACCACCTCATAGCTTCCTATGGGGTCATATCAAACTGATGGGAGAGATTTCAAACCAGCTACCGCCAAATTGTCACATACAAATACTCCCCACGACCATCGCACAGAAGTACGGGTTGAAAGGCATCTGGTATCTTAATTTGTGGCCTATAGCAGATCCAGAAGTCGTCCTAACAGACCCAGACCTCATGGATTCTGTGCAGGTAGCGAGAGTGTTCAATCAGCACCGGCTAGCACAGGACGTGTTAACGAGCGTCCTCGGGGAGGACGTTGTCGCCGCCGCAAACGGGCCCGTGTGGAAAAAGCTGCACAATGCAATGGCCCCGGCGTTTCTGCCCTCTCACGTCAGGACACTCGCTTGGCTGATAGCCGAGGAGACGGTGGTTTTCAGGGGAACTCTGAAAAGGCTCGCGAGAAGCAACCAGGCCTTCTCCGCGGAGCACGAGTTGTCGAAGCTGATATTCGACGTCGTTGGTCGCGTCGTCTTCAATTTCCCGCTCAACGCCCAGACGCAGGGCAGCTCATACCACGAAGACCTGAAGCGGACTGTCCATCTGCTCAATCAGCAGATCTCTCCTAACCCTCTAGTGAAGCTCCAGGCAACACTGAAAAAGCGGGCTGTCCGGAAGCGGGTCGATGCATCTGTTGCTGCGAAGATCCAGGAGCGCTTGGTCGCGCTGAGGAGTGAGAACATCGTGCCTTCGCGTAAGGATCCCCTTAGCATTCTCGACTTGATGCTTCGAGAAACGGTGCTGCGAGGTGGGACCAGGAAAGGTTCCGGGGCGGTTGAGCTCCCCGAAGGGGAATTGGAGTTGTTAGTGACAAAGTAGGTTCTGCTTGCTACGTTACTTCTCTCAGAACATTATACCATGGCTTACACAACTAAAACAGCGTCAAAGGTCTTCTACTTGGTGGGATGGGAACAAGCGTTGACACCTTATGCGTAAGAATTCCTCAAAAGACCAACACTTATTGAGGCTAAGGAATTGTAACTTAAAGTATGCTTACATGCTCTTGTCAAAACATCCGGAAGCTGTTCAGAAAATGCTCGAAGAGCATGAGGCTGTGTTTGGTAGGGACCTCGAGACAATCTTAGAGAACCTGAAGGAGTCACCGGCAAAGCTAGGCGAGCTAGGATATACGACGGGCGTGATCAAGGAGACACTACGGCTTTTCCCTATGGGATACGGCGTCAAGGAAGCACCAGCAGGGTAAAAACATCGCCCCCTTCACCTCCTTTCCCCGATTATCCAAAGCGAATACTAATTAATACCAACATCCTAATAGCGCAACGGTCTCGTACCAAGGCCGCGAGTACCCCGTTGACGACAACTTAGTCACCGCCCCCTGCTGGCACCATGCATTACGACCCGCTATACTTCCCGGAGTCCAGCGCATTTCGACCGGAGCGTTTTCTGGGCGACGGTGTTCCCCGCGGCTGGTTCCGCAGCTTCAGTCGCGGGCCGCGGGCCTGCCTGGGCCAGAACCTCGCTGTAGATATCATGCGCGTGGTCCTGCTGCTCACTGCTCGAGATTTCCACTTCGAGGTCGCCGGGCTCCAGCCTAATCCGAAGCCCCGGGCGACCTACACGAGCCTCGATACTATCTTCGGCGATATCGTATTCCAGGAGCAGTCCATGGAGGCGAAACCTAGGGGTGGGATGACGATGACAGTTAGCGAGAAAGGGGTCGTTGCGTAGCAGGTAATAGAGTATAAGCTTTGCTGCTGATTGATTGCCATGTCCGAGTATCTTGCTGATCAGGAGAGGGAGAGGGGTTAATGGGTATCGATCGTAACATTGCCCGTGTTGCTAAAGAACTACAACAACGGTTCGCTCAGTAACGGGGAGCACGACAGCGCTAATGTGTATGGAAAGCCGAAATAAATATATAAGATACTGGCGAGGAGTGGACTTTATTCTATCACTTTACAAGGGCTACATTACGAGATATAATTCCATAATAGTTTGAACCGGTAAAAATTCGAGTTGAATGATCTACCGCACCTAGATATCGCGGCTTATACCATCCTGATGAACCTAAAAATATCTAACCTAAACCGAACCGAAGCCCCTAATTCTCAACTCCCTGTAGCGATCGTAAAGAAGGAAAGGGTATCAATTCTCACCGAAGCAGGTACTCACCTGTTATATATAACGCCTAGGAAGAATTAACAAAAAAAAAAGTATATCCCCAGACTATTCTTCCAAGACCAACACGCGATCCGATCCCCAAGCCTCTATGATATTTGGGTATCAATGATTGTAGAGAATAAGAATAACCGACCAAGAAGGGAAGATAAAATGAAACGAATGCCGGGACCATCAAGTGCCACTCCTTGGGCCATTCTACTTGCCTGATCCCAGGACCCAGGCATCCCCTAGACATGCTCGACAGGGTCTATAGGCGACGCTCCTAGAATGCTATCTCCATCGTCGTCCTTTACATCCCGCCTAATAGACGCAGCAAAGGCACCGCTATTAGGAGCCGGAGCCGGGACCGCTACCTTCCCAATCGCAGACGGCCCACCGAGCTCCCAGCTCCCCATGCGCTCGTGCCGAGCCCCGCTCTTGACAACGGAAACGTCGTGGTCCGACGCCATCTTCTCCGCGCCCTTGAACCCGCCCAGACTGCTGCGACGCCGAGCCGCTTCCGACGGGCCCCCGCGCCGCCGCACACGCAAGCCACCGAACACGAAGCCGGATACGCCCGCGAGCCCGAGCACCGCGACCGCAGCCACGGCGCCGATGACGCCTGCAACGGCGGGGGACAGGGCAGCGTTGCTGCTGTTTTGGACAGGTCCACGGCTATTGCCCGAAGAAGAAGAGCCGTCCGAGCTCCCCGAGCTGCCGCTAAGCGAGCTGCAGAACAGCGCCAGGGACTGGCACGTGCTGCACCAGTCCGCAAGGTCCGAGACCGCGAACTTGTCGACGCCGGCTTGGAAGTCCGCCCACGTCATGCGCGTCTCCGCGTGGCTACGGCCGAACAGCGGGTATTCGGTGAGCGGGACGTCGCTGCCGGGCCCCGAGCCGTTGCGGTACAGGAACCGGACCCAGGCGGCGTCCTGGCGCGGGTACGCGGCGGAATCGCCGTCGGCGTCGGTGGTGGTAAACAGCTCGAAGACCATGGCAGCGCCCGGGTCGGGGATCTGCGTAAACGTGCCCGAGACGTCGACCAGGTCGGCCAGCGCGAAGAAGGCGAGGAACGGCTCGAAGTACCCGAACATCAGCGTCAGCTTGTTCGAGGACCCGCCCGAGTTCATGTGCGTGCGGAGCTGCGCTACCACCTTGGCCGCGAGCGTGCGCCCCGAGATCGCCCGGATCATGTCCCCCCGGCGAGACCCGGACGCCGACAAGTCAGCGTTGAGGCCGATTTGCTGCCTGTTGGCTAAGCTACGCAGGACCGCCAGACGGTCCTCAGTTAGAGTCTCGTGCACTGACTCGTCGTGGTCGTACGCGTATTGGGCGTAATCGTATAAGTCGTACGCATAGCCGTAATTGAGCATAGTATTCGGCAGCGTATTCGGGAATACCTCTTCCCACGTCCGTTCGTAGAAGTAAGACGTGGAATTGTACATCTTCCGCACCGCGTCGCTGTTCTCAAAGTCGAGACTCGACGACCAGTACTCCGTACACGTCGCATGTCCCTCGAGCCTAATAATAGCCCTGTTAATGATATCCACGAAAAACAATTGCCAGAGTATAGTTATTCAACTCACCAGATAGAATTCGGATCTGTGCTGGGGACGGTCCGAATATTAGGATACTGGTAACCACCAAGAGGGTAGTTCACCACCGTACCGTTAGCCAATGTCGACGCATTAGCACCGCCATTATTATCAGCAAAAGCCCGAGTAACAGGCGGATAAAGACCCTGCAAGAAAGCCAGGGCACCTCCAACTACGTAATCATTTGTGGCGCTGAAGACAGCCAGCTGGCTATTATCAATAGCCTGCCGCTCCAAGCCGACGATCGGCGAATTCGTCGTTATAGCATTATCCTCATCGGACAAGCTGGAATTAGACAGATACCGCGCTCTGAACAGCGACCCCTGAGAATGGAGCTGCTGCGCGCCGAGCGGCGTCAAGCTGGAGACGAGGTCCCCGAGGAAAGGCGTGCGCTCGCCGTAGAAGACGTACGCAAAAGAAGCCCAGACGGTTTCGTTGGCAGATTGGGCCAGGGACTCGCTTACGAGCGAGAGGCCGGCAGCTAAGAGCGCCGTCGTAAGTGAACGTGAAGCCATTCTTCTTCAAGCCACGCTTGTGCTCACCACGCCTTTCTCATTCATATATATGGAAATTGAGAAAAGAGGTAACAAACTAAGTGAAATCGTACGAAAAGTGCGAATACGGAGGGAGGGAGATCGGGAAGAGCTATCGAAGCTCGAGGAGGACAAAGGAGGGGTAAATAGCCGCAAGGACAAAGATAGATAGATAGACCTAACCTTTCGAAGCTTGCTTTGCTTGCTTACCTCTCTCTACCACAAGCATGTATATCTCTCACCTATTGTACCTACATGGCTTCGAATGACACCAGATAACGTGCTTGCGTGTTCAAGGGTTCGTTATGCCATCTCGCTAGACGACGGGAACAGGGCCACCGCGTGCAGTCCATGTCTGCTTACGGGGGTAGAGTAAGTCCACAACGTTGTTCTCTGAGCGTTCACACCCCAGGTCTATAGAAAGCGGCGGGGGAGCTTGTCAACTCTCATATGTAGGGGACAGCGGGGTAGTTTGTAGCTGAGAGCACGCCAGATAAGAGCAAAGCGAGGAGAGAGCTTGGCATAGCTCTTTTTGGGCCTTTAGGGCTTGGAAGAATGAGCTACCTTCATCGGACAAGTTGCTACCCCTGCCTTTCCCCAAGGACGGAGCTCTATGATAGGTTCGTTAACGTGGTAGTGGCTGCATAGAAGTACTCGTGACGTTGAAGTAAATTGTCAGATAGGTAGTGCTACTCTATATTGGCGAAATGAAGACCTGGATTTGGGAATTCTTTGCCACCAGGGGCCCGGGACGTTCTTTACCAATAATCGAAATGGCAGCGTAGCAAGGCATGGCTTCTGTAGATTTGCGTATATCTCTTTGCAAGATGAGATATGACACCTCATACACTGCGTTTGCGTGTTGCAGGGACTCTTCCGTCATAATTCGATGATGCGTATCTACGTAGTGGAAGATCTCACTTTAAAAAATTAAACCTTAGGTAAGTTTATATAGGATGTCTACGAAATTGGTGAGATAGGAAACACATAGTCTCTGGAAGGGCTCAGTCAACTTATTCTCATAAGACAGTTTCAACCAATGGATGTTATAAGATCTTGAATGCATTATGCGATGAGGACGAAGTTTGAAAAACAGGACGAGATATCGTTTACTTACTTGGAGTTATAGAGATGGCTAGTATTTGTAATCTTATTTAACGCTTTGTTCATGAGTTATGATAATCAAAGTTGCGAAGTGCTTGTACTTACAAGTATGCTTTTGCAGTATGATTGAATATCGACTTCTATTTTCATCTTCAATAACGGTTAGCTCAAATAATGCTATTGAAGCTAATGCGATTGATACCTTGGCTCTTATTACCTTGATATGGTAAGAAATAAGCATTATTCCCATATCAGACTTTTAAAATATTATATGTGAGGTTACCATCGCGCGCTTGCTCGCGACGTTTATGGTGTAAAGCCTACCGAGTTGAAATGTTTCTTTAGCTTCAAGTGCCGTATGACTTACAGACGGTTGATGTTTATCATGTTAGCATAGTAATACGATGCGTATGAGAAAAAAAAATACGGCAGTAATGGCATATACTACGTTTCATCAAGTCACTGGGAAGAAAGGACATGTCTTCACGAACACAGGTCACACCAGCGGATCGCCCAGAGAGGACATCATCGCAGCACATCACCGAATGACAGACTTGAAAACATTAATGTCAGCTCTGAATTACTAACTGATAACTGCACAAGTAAGGGAATAAGCACCTTTTGAAACCAGTCTGTACCCCATTCCACATCCATCACGCAAGTCGGACACCGGCCTCCTTGCGCTTCTTGGTCTGCTGTGTCATGGCCGAGCTCATGCCGACGTTCTGGCTGGCGTCCAACATGCTCTGGGCTTCTCGTCGCTTCTCGTCTTCGATCTTCTTGAGTCGTTTGTCCGTCTTGCCTTTACCGCTTCCCTTGCCGTGGAACTGGTGGCTGAGGTGCTTGAACGCCTCCTTCTGGTCGAGAGACCGTCCATACTCGTCGTGATACTTTAGCTCTATGTTAGGCTTATATCCTTTGTTGAACAGATCGACTAGCTGTCGAGAAGTTTGCTGATCGCGGATGTTATTTTGTTGTCGTGCCCACTCTTCTCTCTCTCGCACTGACATCCTGTCAAGTCTGCCGCTGTTGCGATCCCGCTCTCGCTGTTGGCGGGCTTCCTGTTCAATCTCGGCTAGCTTTCGTTTCTTCTCTGCGACAAATAGTTGATGCTGACGCTGCGCTTCGTTTAGTTCGGCAGCACCCGAATCTTTCAGCAGCTGTCGTTCTCTTAGAAGCTGTAGAGTTGCACCGATACCAGACCCTACGGTCTTCTCTTCATCAACACCGATGATGGCCGTCTCTGCTGGAGTTGACGTCTCGCGCTTAACTCTATCATGATCGTCGTACGCGTCCTTCATCCGCTCATCTTCATCGGATTCGTCCTCCATAGCCGTGACTGGAGCCTCGTTAGTCGACTTCGGTTTGCGAGGCTTGCGGTCCTCGATATCCTCTTTCTTCAACCCCGAAACGAACTCTGAAATCTCGTCCAGAACGAGTCCGCCCTCCTGGTTGGCATCATTATCAACTTCCGGCGTCTGTGCCTCTTCTCGGAGTTGCCTCGCAATATCTTCAGGGCGCATCTTCTTACGCTTCTTTAGGGCGTCCCTTCTTTGAGCAGCCAAAGTAGCCTGGAGATCCTCGTCATCGGCGATTGCCGTATCGTCGGTCTTTCGTTTTTTGCTGACGAAACCAGCACCCGAATCTATATCCATCGGCTGATCCAGCTCAGCTGGGGGTAATGGAAAGATATCATCTTCATCTACTGGACGTTGTCTCGTTGCCTTGGACTTCTTCTTTTTGGGCTTCTTGATTTTGACTTCTGAGATGTCCAAGTAATCCGAGGTTGGCTTGTCCTCTGTTAAAATATCGAGGTTGATTCTTTGTTTTTGTCCGCCCTGTACTTGACCATCAAACTCATCGCTCAATACAGTATTCCCTAGCCCATCTAGTGTAAACTTCTTGCTCTTTTTGGCACCGATCTCTTCGTCGTACTGGGCCAAGAGGCTACGCTCACTGTCTTCGTCAATCGCGTTCGGATCGTACACGGGCTTCTTCTTTTTCAACTCGAGTTTCTTTTCGAGCTTCTCTCGTTCTCTGAGATTGATGTTTTCAAGCTCGTCGCCTTCCTCCTCTTCCCCTAAGACGTCGGTATCCTTGAGTGTTAAGATTTGCTCCTCTCCATCTTCGAAGGATCCGATCTCGTGGCCGACCTTGACACCAGCAAGATCCTTAGACGTATATTGGATAGCTGCTGCTGCTTGGGCTTCGGCAGCAGCTAGTTCTTCCTCAAGCTTCCGCGCCTTCTCAATTTGCTTTTGGCGTTTCTTTTGACTGATCAACCACGATTTGGTATCAACTTCATCGTCGTCAGCCTCGCCTAAACTTTTGCCTTGTAGGCTCTCGAAACGTTTCGCAGCGTCACGGGCCCTTTTGATGGCAGCGGCCTTCTCTTCCCGTCTCTTCTTAGCCTCTTCGGCGTCTCTACTCTTTTTATAGTTATCGTACGCGGCTGCTTCTCGGCTTTCGAGTGTACTTCCGGCGTCTTCTTCGGACGTAGATGTCTTTTCTTTAAATTGAGGACCACTTGCGCCGGGGACGGGTAAAGGCTTCATGCCCAGAGAAACGCGAAGGCGATTCGTCTCTTCTATCGCGGCGGCATCCATGGTGGATGATTGTGACTCGAACGTGGGTCGATAGCTACTTTTGATTATTAAAAAGGATGAAACGCGCGAGGTCGATGTTTTATAAGCAACTAGGATATTTGCGGCTTTGCTAATTGTTTTACGGTGGAAGTCAAAAAGTGATGATAAGGGCAGGTTTGAAAGCGATTACTCCAAGTTCAATGGAAGTTGCTTTGTCGCAATCAAAGAACCGGCCTTTAGGTAGTCACTTGGCAGTACGTTAGGTACCTCTACTAGTACAGTAGAGGTGGACCGTGCGCCTAAACTGGGCTGCCCCACTTTCACATCAAGCTTTGCACAATAAATTTCAAAATTTTCAAGTCGAAAATTCTTTCTTTCTTTCTTTTACAACCCACGGACCTGTGCCCGATCGTCCTCTGTTCGCATCGCGAATCCAGAGTTGATGATCGAGGCAGCTCGAATCACATATGGAATCATCCTCTTTTTTATGATGCCTATCCAATCGACAGGTCCTAGAGTAAGAAGCAGTTCTGGAAAGCCTGAGTTCGCCGTCAAAAGCTGTAACTCGGTGGACTAGTTCTTGCTTCAGGGACTATATTCCACCCCTTTTTTCCGAGATCATTGATCTATGAGGTTGAGGAAAACCATAGGATACCCTACATACCGTTGCCCATTTAAAGATTTTAGGCTGTTCGACCGATCATGCGCTTTCATGTGCCTGCTGCGGAGACGAATCGCCTTCGAACTGGAAGAAGCCCGTATTTTGTATTTATGTTCTGATAATAAAGTTGTGCGCGTTGAATTTTGAAGAGTGAAATATCTGATAGCATGACCGGCTGTTTCTCGGACGTCTAAACCCGTCTTTCATGTGTCTAGAGCTACAAATGTAGGTCGCGACTATGCGCTATCTCGGTTTGAGGGCACGTTGTTCGTCATGAAAATGTTGAAATATCTCTTCTTCGGCCTCATCCCGGGCAGACTAGGCCTTCCGCCAGAGTCGATGCTATGATCCGAGCGCAGTGGTAATGCGATTACTAGAATGAGCCGAGGCTAGACTCATTAACATTATAATAAATCCCGATAATAAGTATTTTATGAGTTCAGTTGAGCGGATACCGGATGCCAGGTACGGACACTTAGCTTAGGCAAGCCAAGAAAAGTCACGATACCCTCGGCTTGGTGCGGGTCGTGCCTTGATCATGCTTGGAACACAAGTTCATTCTATACTATGCAGGAACAAGTGGTGCGATGAGGCATATCACGGGCCGATATGAGAGAGCATGATACGTGTCTACGGAGGTTTAGGGGGGCAATGGTCTTGTGATCTTTTTGTTATGGGTTATTACGTTACCTTACTAAATAACCCACGCAAATATTCTCCTATATTTGGTTGCTTAAAGGTAAACAACTCAGATAGAACAAGTAAATCCCATATATTGCAGCCTTTTGTTATGAAGTGTTCAAACACCAATAAATGGTCAGCAGCTATATTGGCTCAAGTCGGGATTGCACACGTATCTTATAAAACACTTGTTCGCATCAAACCGGAAGAGCTCCAGGTAGGTGGCTGGCTACAGTGGACTCGCCCCCCTTTCTACCCTTTCCCACCCCCCTTGCCACGACCTCCCTTGCATTTACTCCAACTTCCAACTTGTTGATTAATGCGGGGACAATGCTCCCCCCGCATGGAGGCCGTTTAAATCTATGGGGTTAGCTTGGAGCTGCGTACCCTTTACACCCTTTATATTCACTTCTAATCCAGCCTCATAGTCCGTCCCCTGTTAAGGCCCTAGACCATCTAGTCTTCCAGGGGTTTATTACCGAATCCGTCAAATCCGTCAAATCCCTCCCACATGCACAGTACTGACGATACCTGGAAACTTCCACCCCAGAGCGGCCCGATTCGAGATCCCCAGGTTGCCCCAGGTTGAAGCTTGGTTGGCTGCTATTTACGCTAATTTCTTCAACTAAATATCTTCATCACTCGCGTCATCTCATTTCAGCAGGTTTCGAGGCGGAGTTCGTCTCTAGGGCGTTGCATTGGCCCCATTAAACACCGCCAGGCCGGTTTACCTTAGGTAAGGCACTACCTATTGACCGAGAAGTATCGCCGGAGGCACCGTGGGATTCGGTCCTACAGCTATCCCAGAGTAGCACCCGGTCAGGTTTCCAGAAGAGGCGAAGGGCCTCTTCACGATGCTTCTGAAAAGCTTCGTGTATAAAAACAGTGAAGATGGACATCTTGCATACCTCAAGTCAAGGGCTTCTCGCAAGCAATAGCACCTCATTGATCGAACCCATCATGCAGGGCCTCACTTCTCTGTTCCTCTTGGGCACTTTTGCCTTTCAAACCATCCTTGGCTACCCCGGTTCATCTCGTGTACGCCGAGAGGGTGTAATCCTCAAGCGAGCCGTGGACAACTTCGTAGCCACCGAAGAACCCATTGCTTTTGAAAAGCTCCTTGCCAACATCGGATCAAGCGGGAGTGAAGTTCAAGGCGCCAGCTCAGGTGTTGTCGTAGCCTCCCCAAGCAAGTCGAACCCTGATTGTATGTACCTAATACTTACTCCTCTCTCTCCTGAATCTTTACCTTCGCTATATGCTGACTACTTATCCTAAGACTTCTATACCTGGACCCGAGATGCTGCTCTTGTCTTCAAGGCTATAACCGAGAGATTCATCAATAAATATGACGCGTCTCTACAGACTCAAATTCAGAACTACATTGTCGCTCAGGCTAAACTTCAAACCGTATCCAACCCGTCGGGTTCTCTATCTGATGGAAAGGGTCTGGGAGAAGCCAAATACCAGGTCGATCTCAGCGCTTTCACTGATGGCTGGGGACGCCCGCAACGCGATGGGCCTGCTCTGAGGGCTATAGCTTTGATCACTTACTCCAAGTGGCTTATTGCAAACGGCTACACCTCCACCGTGAACACTGTCGTCTGGCCCGTAATCCGTAACGATCTCAACTACGTCGCCCAGTACTGGAACCAGACCGGTTTCGATCTCTGGGAGGAAGTTAACGGAAGCTCTTTCTTCACCGTTGCTGCTCAGCACCGGTCTCTCGTCGAAGGAAGCGCTCTGGCAAAGACCCTTGGCATAAACCATGATGCCTACGACGCTATTGCACCTCACATCCTCTGCTTCCAGCAAACTTTCTGGTCACCCTCGGGCGGCTATGCCTTGGCCAACATCAACGTCAACAATGGCCGATCTGCCAAGGATGGCAACTCAATCCTGGCCTCGATCCACAACTTCGACCCGGCCCTGGGTTGCGACTCTGCGACTTTCCAACCCTGCAGTGACAGGGCTCTTTCCAGCCACAAGGTTGTTGTCGATTCGTTCCGCGGTATCTACTCTATCAACGCGGGAATTCCCAGTGGTTCTGCCGTTGCTGTGGGGCGATACTCCGAGGATGTCTACTACAACGGTAACCCGTAAGTAATCCGACTCAGCCAGTTTGCTAGGTACCTTACCTAGGTACCTATATTCAGCACTAACATCCACTCTAGATGGTACCTCCTTACTCTCGCAGCCGCAGAGCAGCTCTATGACGCCCTCTATGTATGGCAGACTACTGGATCCATCACGGTCACATCCGTTTCGCTGTCATTCTTCCAGGACCTCGTCCCGAGTGTCCAGGCTGGGACGTACAAGGCTGGCACCGAAACCTACACCACGATCTACAACGCTGTATACCTCTATGCCGATGGCTTCGTCAACATCGTCTCTCAATACGCCGCGTCGGACGGCTCTTTGGACGAGCAGTACGACCGCAACAGCGGAACACCGCTATCTGCTCGGGACCTTACCTGGTCGTACGCCGCATTCTTGACCGCCGCCGCACGACGATCCGGTCTTGTCCCTCCCAGCTGGGCGGGAGCCGACTCCACCGCCACCTCGGTGCCCGGCGTCTGCAAGGCCACATCTCAGGCTGGATCGTACTCTGCCGCGACGGCTCTGTCTTTCCCCGCCAGCCAAACTCCCATCACCACCGCCGTGCCTACTTCCACCTTCACCCGCCCCACCGTCACCCCCACCACCACGACGGGCAGCTGCACCGTCGCCACCGCCGTCGCCGTCACCTTCAACGAGCTCAAGTCCACGAGCTGGGGACAGACCGTCAAGGTGGTCGGCAACGTCGCCGCCCTCGGAAACTGGGACACCAGCAAGGCGGTGACCCTCAGCGCCTCGCAGTATTCCTCCAGCAACCCTCTCTGGACAGTCACCGTCACCCTCCCCGCCGGCCAGTCCGTCGAGTACAAGTACATCGTCGTCAACACCGACAGCTCCATCACCTGGGAGGCCGACCCCAACCGCGCCTTCACCGTCCCCAGGACCTGCGCTACCACCTCGTCGAGAACCGACACCTGGCGGTGATCTATTATTTACACCCATCTAATTGCTTAACTTAGAGACCTGAAGTCGCAATCTCAAAAATTGTTTAGAGAGAAAGAAAGAGAGCCTCGTCTGAGGTTATTGTTATATTATATTAATAGAAACGTTTGCGCTCCTAGGGCTAGGGTTTAGGTAGTTTAGGTAGACACATATACGGTAGTTAGTAATGCCGTAAAGAGTCAACAAGTCTTGTATAATACGTACCTGGTAAAGCCCCCTGTTCCTATTGAGAATGAGATCATGAAGGAAATAAATATATACCTAACGTACTTAGAATGAATAAAGATGTAATAGAATCTATTTTAACCATATTCCAGGGTTGTAATTGACCTGTATGCCTCTCTATCAGTAGTAAATAGTAGTAAAGGTTCTTTTGCTTCTAGAGCCAACCTAACATATATGAAATCTTCCCAAATTCTAAATCTCCGCAAGCCATAGCACACATCACACTACATCACCTTCCCCCCCTTCCCCTTCCCCTTCCCCTTCCCCCTCCTCTCCTCTCCTCTCCCCAAAAGCCCTCTCCAACTCCCTCATCAGCGTATCCACCGCCCAATTAAACGTGACCTCCATATCGACATCGAGCCCCTTATCCGTCTGCGCCAAAATCCCCTTCTCCCGCAGCGCATGCTCGTCCAAGCGGCCGCCATCCACGTCCCCATCCACGAACAGCCCCGCGTGCGACTCCGCGTAGTTCGGCCACACGACCTTCTCGACGTACCCCGGGGGGTCGGCCCAGAAGCCCTCGAGCGTGACGTACCCGTCGCGGCGCTCGCGGCGGCGGGTCGCGCTGGCGCGGCTCACGAGCAGGAAGAGTCGCGCGTCCAGCAGCCCCGGGATCCCGCCGGCCTCGAGGTCCGGCGCGTACAGCAGGAACCCGTCCAGCAGGCACACGCGCAGGCCGGAGGCGGCGCCCAGGACCGCGTGGCCCGGCTGCCCCGGCTGCAGCCACTGCGAGACCTTGGCCCGGGCGCGGATTATGGCCGCGTTGGGGACCGGACACTCGCCGACGGAGTTTTGGTCTTCTTTGGAGTCGACGAAGGGCTGGGGGGAAGAAAGGAAGGAAGAAAGAAGTCTTAGTATATATATGTGTATAGGTTGGTTCAAAAGTATAAGAGCTGAGATGTATAGACGGGAAATAGTTCTCACGAGGAGCAGAACCAAAGTCAAGTATGGTGTGTAGCCACATATATCTCATCCATTGTTTAGAAAATTCGCTTACCGGAAAAGTGCCGTGGGCGCGGATATGTTCCAGCGCCCGCTTCATGTCCGGGATGTTAATAGCTTGGGCGCAGTCCCAGTCCAGGAGGCCTTCTTTGTAAGGGAGTCTATGATGAAGAAGTAAATTAGTTAGCATTGCGCCTTTTTTTTTTCGTCTTGAATATAATCGATCATAGGGTAGGTCAGGTAGGTAACATGGGAGGAATATAAATTTACTCGGTCTCATTCCTATAAAAATCATCCTCGTGCAGGACAAACGTGTCCGGGAAGACGTCGCGCAGCAGCCGGGCGAGCGTCGTCTTACCGCTGGACGAGGCCCCGCTAATACCGACCACGAAAGCTTTTCTATCCTCCATGCCCACCCCTTTTCTTAGATATCCTCACGTTAATTAATACTTATGAGGCACCTTATTTGCCTATATTTTTCTTTTTTTTCTTAGGGTAATGTCAAACAAATTGATGTGAGAATGAGATAGAAAGTTTACGTCATATACCTACGCTTGGCAAAGCGAAGATTAAAATAGTGCGATTGCACCGTTAGCGGATAGAAAGGTAATACCTGTTTGGAGCCGCCCGGGATGACTCAGCCGGCTCTCCGACTCCCCCCCTTTTTTCCGAGTTACTATTACGTTCCGCCGAGGCGTACGAGATATGAGATGTGGTCTAATATCATTCGTAGTAAGTTAGAATTGTGATACATTGGTTTTCATAAGTTACCAAATTAAACTAGGTAGAGAACTCATCATCGTGGATTCACGTCCTATCCAGCTCATCCCTCAGGAAAAGTTATTACTGCATTATTCTGTCTGTAAGCTACCTACATGGGTAGGTATGTATCGCCTATAAATCTGCATCATGATCTCATAAGTACGCCAATGTCATAGTTAGAAGGTTGCGAAGTTCAAGGATGTAGCTTTTCACCCGTACTTCGTGTTAAGCTTCTTCATAATCGACATCGCTCCACTCCTATATCCACCACCAAACAGCGCCCAGTGGTTTAGGTGGTGATACCTACATAGTACGCAGTTGTTAGTTTCGCGCATTCCTCATCGAACAATAGCACGCGTGCCTGTATGGGATAATCAACAACAACACGACTTACAACTCGTACAACGCGACCCGATCCTCCCACTCCTCCTCCGGTTCGGCCTTCGGCACCAAGCTCTCGTACTCCTTCCAGAAGCTGCTCCCGAACCCGCCGAACATGCGCATGATGCCCAGCTCGTACTCCGAGTGGCCGTACACGGCCGACGGGTCGAACACGACGTCCTCGACCCCGCCTTCCCCCGCAATCCGGCCGTGCCCGTGGTTCCCGCTCCACAGGTCCCCGTGCACGACGACCGGGTACACGCCCTTGACGTGCGCGTCCCCGATCAGCCGCGGCACGATCTTTCTCGCGGTCCTCTCCACCGCCCTCGCGAGCTCCGGGTCCGAGCCGTTCGCCCGCATCCCTTGCCGCAGGATCGCCCGCAGCCGGTTGTCGGCGTAGAAGTCCGCCCACGAGCGCTTCCACGAGTTGTCCTGCGGCGAGGACCCGCAGCACGTCGTTACCGGGAACCCGAACACGGGCCCGTCGAAGCCCTCGGGCACAGGAGCCGGCGTCGTGTGCAGCCTCGCCAGCTTCTTTGCGAGCGATTCCCCGGACCCATTCGGGCGCGACGACCCCAGCTCTAGGAAGTCCGTCGCTAGGAAGAACCGGTCGGGGTTCTCCCGGCAGGGCCCGTTGGCGTGGGACCTCGGGCACAGGTTAGATACGACGGAATGGATGGCGTTGAGAGAGGCATGTTCCCCTAGGTTAGGTAGATTGTGTTACTACATCAGCCTTTTTCAACGCAGCAAGCATAGCATGCATTATCATATATATAGGTAATAGGTAATAGGTAATACTGTCGCGCAGACAAGAGGGAAATGGGACATCCCACCCTAACCTTTAAACATGAGTTCGGAATCGGCTCCCGGTCCCGTCTTGACGAAGAAGTTCTTCTCCTTCCCGTCTACCGTGGAGCTTAACTTGAACGTCGAGGCAAATCCCGAACCGCCATGCGAGGTAATCTTGGTGGTTTGCGCGTCTAGACCGAGCGCTTCTAGGATCGCCGGATCGACGTTGGATGCCATACTTCTTGTGATGTTGATGGAGAAAGATTTACGGAAATTGATTGATATGCGCTTTGATCCTGTTACGGCCTGCATACAATATCACCTAATAGGTACGTAGCGTAGGTAAGTTTTAATCTTGTAGAAAGATATCTAAAATTGCTGATCGTCTGATAGATAATATACTACGTAGATGACGTCACTCTTCTTGATTCTTCCCAGCTATTAATTGAAGCAAGGGTGCTGGGGCTGAATACAACACAATAAAGCGTCGAGTATATCATACCAAAAAAAGATATCAAATAACCAAAGTGGTGTGTATTCGAATTCAAATCTAAATTGGGGTATCAGGTATCTTCTTCCTCGGAACTCCCCGTACAAACGTGACGCCGACTTGGGCGAATAAGTAATGGAATCTGATGGTTGATCCACTCGCCTGGCTGCAGAAGCACCTAATCCGCTAATGAACCCAATCTTTTTTAGGGCATCAATAGGCCACTAAAAGCGCCCTAAGAAAAAAAAGCTCCGAACAGAACGGGTAAGCCCGCATAAAACTCGGCGACCCGGTCCAGGGGTCTATCAACCCATTATGGGAACATTAACCCTTTCGCCTTTCCCTTTTTCAGTATACCGTCTCCGTGATAACGCCACAAATTAATACCCAAAGGCCAGCAGCAGCCTTAAGAAGCAAGCAGCTAGCGGCTAGAATTTTTACTTCAAGTTGCCGCAGCCACAGCTGAACGCTAACAAAATAAAACGCTAAGCCCTCCTTTGCGCCGAACCATATATTCGCGGGTATCCTTCACGTCTTCGTCGCCTTACCAGGCGTTTCGCCTTGCAGGGATGTCTGGGAGTCTCCAGTATTCAAAATTGCTCATCAAATTTTTAACATCGTTGATGAACCCGAGTCTCAAGCCCTGGTTTCTGAGCTGACTCGTTGCGTTGCTGTTGACTGAGTTGTCGGTGTCGAGCGCAGAGGAACTAAATCCGAAGCCACACTTGCCATGCTTGGCTTCCGGGACAGGCTGGTGGCTCGCTTATACCACGGCTTCTTGACGGCTTCTATCTTGGACATATCCTTCTTCGGCTTCTCAAGGATCGCAGCGCTTGTGTTGGTTCTCGGTGGTAGAACCTCGCCGGGATCTATGGGATCCCTAAAGACTTCCTGACCGTGCCCTGTGCCGTTGAAGCAGGCTGCGCATGAACAGATAGGTACCGTGGGCTGGAGACGAGACGGATGGACGGTTTGACTCCGCCACCAGTTTTGGAATTCGGCCTTCATTGCGGGATATGGATTGAGGTAGTGAGGTAGGTAGGTAGGTAAGTAGGTAGATGATCTTCTATGTGCTTTACTGCAAAGTGTATCTACTTAGGTAGGGATAGTGTAAGAGGGCCGTATACCGAGCCTGGAGCTGAGTTGAGAACGAAGGATAAAACCCAGACGAAAACCTTGAAAGATTTGAAGGTATTTAAGTATTCAAGAAGCAAGCACTCCTTGCATTCTAGACTGCCCAGCGGGCACTAGCATAGAGTAGGCAGATAATAAAACTTGTCATATATGTATCTGTTGCCCTACGAAGCTCCGTGTCGTTACATGGTATTCCCGAATCCTCCCGCGTGTCGCCACTCCGGAATGCCAAGACCTTTTTAGTCCTTAATTAGTTTGTCTGGCATATATATACCTAACATACCTTACCTATGGTTGACACGGCAAGGTGCCGCTGACCGCATAAACTCAGTACGTATGTAGGGTAGGTACGCGTGATTGCTTTCGAGTTATGAGCTACATATGTGGGCCATTCGCAAGGGATTGTCTAGAATTGGTGGTAATAGGCCATTGCTTTTTTTTTACACGCATCATGGGACGTATATTAATAACTTTGTTCACCGATCTTTTTTGAATGTACCTAGCGTACCTAAGGGAGCTGTGTCTCAGAGATGTTGCACTTATGCTACGGCCCTCGAAATTCCAATTCGTTGGACATGATGAACGTAATCGATTATTCCTACAGATTGTTTCTACACCGTCCTTGTGGATGATGTGCCTACCTAAGGTACCATTGCGGCAGTCTCGCGGGTGTTGCATTGGGGCGCCTTACTCGTAGTCAATATAACCTATCTGCATAGAAGATCGTCACTTCTCCAAATTGTAGCAGATAGACCATAAGGCTATCATTGAGGTGGGTTGTCTGCAGCAAACAAGTGTGGGGGCTAGGAAGAAAGAATACAGCAGAAGTGGAAGTGGAAGCAGGAAGGGAGAAAAAAAAAAAAAAAAAAAAAAAAAAAAAAAAAAAAAATAGGGGGGGGGGGGGGGGGGGGGTTTGGGGAGCGCCAAAACGGGAAAAATTAGTAAACGGGACAGATATTAAAATTAAAGCGGGGCAAAAAAGGGTTTTTA